CAGCAGCTCCAGTTCTGAAACATGCCCCTTGTTTTGCCGGTCTCAGACTTCATGATGACTTAAAGCGAGAGTTGAGCGTTGGGCGACAATTTTTTGCCATCATTCTCTCGTATCACTCGTACCCGTAGTGATACTCTCTGCTTATTGCTTACCTTGTTCTATTTGCGACAATGCTCACATGATAAGAGAAGGGATTATAGGTTTCCGAAGAACTCACGACCAACCAGCTGTCACTGCATCAAATCAGGCGCCGGAGGATCGAAAAGGGCGTCGCCGTGTTGACATGCGTCAAAGTGAAAGCATCAAATCGTCTTCCTGAGTGCATTACAGATCGGTCTTTGTCGGACAACTAACCTTCCCCTGAAGAGGGATGGACTATACTGCAATCCTTCGGAGTGATGCTGGATGCCCACATACTGAATACGCAAATCTAGGCTACAACCACGCGTCAGTAGATTGAGTAAAGGGATAGAGAGATCAAAGGAGCTGGCATGCACTGAGAGACAAAGGGGTATGCAGCAGTCAGGTGGCGCCCTAACGGCAGACACACCAACAGCGCAAGAGCAAGTCCCCAGCGTCTAGGCTCGCCACCGCCAGACCTTTGGCAGAAAATTTTAGCTCACTAACAGTTCACCCGCGGAAGCGAGCGTTGAGCGTGCAATCACCAAGTCCAGTGGCCAACACCTTGCGCACGGCCAGGTCCACTCAGCCATATCTGCTGTCTTACTTGGCCACGATTAATATCCAACTATATCAGGTGTCTGATATCGCCAGCATGAAGGCATCATTGGCTAGACTTGGTCACAAGGCGGACGAAATGGATCATTCGCTACTGGATGGGGACTGCAGCATACATACTTCCGGTTTGCGGTAATGCTTCGGTCATCCACATCACCTGTCTTTAGCCCGATAGGATGACCTCTCCCGTTGGATGATCTGTCGGGGCTTGCGCGTTGTCGAGCATGGATCACCGCAGCTTGATTGCCTGGAAGACACGGCTGCAGCACGAGTGGGTGCACTTAACCAGCAAGGTGACAGTGATGTGTTGCCACTGTGGGTGAGCATGTGGGCGCATTTTCTGTCGCCCCGGACGGGATTGCCTACGGGATCATCTGCCCGGCGATGAACGTGGTAGTAGGATGTGATGAGCTGCCGATAGGTCCCCTCACACCCAAACGGGATTCACGCAAGCCCAGGTTACATATTATGTCCTGAAAGCGGACTTACCCGGAATCAGATGCTACATATTCTAATCCGGCAGCACTGGCATCTTGTGGTATCAGGCCACTTTTGAAGACTTGACTGGGATGATACTGGATTGCTCAGGGCTCTCATTATGGTAAGTTTCTACGATAAACAAACATGATCGAATCGCCACCACCCTAGGCCCTTCCCCTCACCCCTGACTACTTCTGAGTGGACTCCCACGATCTCATTCAAACCTGGAATCATCTCAACCATGTCCAGGCACTTAGAACTATGGAGATTGCATAACGATATCGTGTCCATGGCCGGATATGAAGCATGCAATCTCCAAGCGAAATGAGTGAAGTCTTTGTTGTTCTTTTGCTCAGACCACTTCTGTAGCCTCACTCGAGACTCTTCCGCAAGAGCGGCAACAAGATTCTTTAGAAAGTGCAGCGAAGCTATTCTGTGAGGAAGAGCTTAAGCTGAGAGCTATACTACCAGGATTGGTATCTCTAGATCATGAGTTGGGCTTCACTGATGGTCGGTAGCCTGTTCAAATGAAGGTCCCTGCTGTCAAACACAGCCTCACAAATGACAAGTCTCATGTCATTGTCTAGAGCGTCTCTTAATATGGCCGAGCAGTCAAAGCGCAAAATATGACTATGTCAAGTTACATTTGACTGATGAAACTCTACAGGCACGAATATGGTTGGCATTCCCTGTTTTTTCACGACTCTTGCAAAAAGAACTTGTGATCTTGTAGTCAATGTACATAGGTTGTTGTATCACTTTGCTTGCCTATCTACCTTTCCTCAAATAGAATCTCGGAAAGATTACACATCGGCTGTACTATAGGCCGAAAACCACCCCTTCAATTATATATATTTTTCAAACACAGACATCACTTCCTTCCCGTATCTCTATTTTTGATCTTTTGTGCAAACAAGTTATCAAGTACGTCAAGCGCTATGTCTCTGAATGCAAAGACCATTTTCGCCTAATAGCAGTAGCCCGGCCCTAAAAAGAAAAATATGGCCGAGAAAAAAGAGCTGAGCCCACTGGCCCGGTGGAGTCCTATATTTCAGCCCCCTCGACCACGCGACCAAGTTTGGTCGCAAAACAAGGACTTACAAAGAAACTTTGAGCAACCTTCACTACTTTTGTCCTCGGGCATATGCGGCCAGCGGTTGAAACCTTCTTTCTGGCACACATGTAGTCAGCAAAAGTGGAGTGGCCGGCCAAATGCTCAATTAGTGTACATGTACACACAAGGCTCATGATAATGGGGTTTTTAGTCGTCCCTTCTGTTTCAGGATGTTAGTGCGTCGCAATGCCGGGTCCAGCGCTCGGCAGTGGGAGGGGGGGGGGGTGGTGGTGGCTCCACAACTCCACCCCTCCACCCCCCATAGCATAAACGCTCACCGGAACATTAGTTCATACGTAGCCGCAACTTAAGTTTTTTTGCCCGGCAATGGGCAAAATGGTTATTAGGGCAATGATCACATGCATATTACATCTTATGACAACTTGCCGCCACGATCGTAGTTTTAAAAAAAATAACCAGTCTCCCAAAGAAGAAGAGAAAACGGGCAGCGAAAGTCACCGAGCTAGGTAAGCAAAAAGTGATCTGCTTGTCCGTTTACCAGTCTTGGTCACTTTTTGTGGAGGAAGAGATATGCGAGTATCGTTCGATATATCCCTCGTTTTAAACTAAAACTCAACCATCACCACACACACCCCCTTCCCGCTCCATGACATGACTCCAACTGCAAGGGCTGAGATCGGGAAACATTAGTCAAGTAAAAACGGTATGTAGCGAAAAAAAACTATAATGACGTTGTTTTGCCTCATCGGGGGCGGGATGTCAACACTTTGAGCCCCGAAAAAGGACGATAGTAATCCTTGTTCGATTTTCGTCACCCCGGAAAGAGGACGAGACATCATGTATGTGTGTACGCTTTAGCCTCCGGAACCAGGAACAACAACAATACCAATAGTGTTTATTTTGTGCAATCAAAAGAAAAAAAGGGACAGGGAACAGGGGGCCTTTGAAGAAAAAAGTCGTGCCTTGCATCGTTCATCCGGACCGGCCTTGAATTTCTGCACGTTGGGAGCTTACTTGACTTTCCGCCCCCGCCTCCGCGCGCTTCCTCTTGCTACACCGTATGCGCGTGCCATGTGTGTGTGTGTGTGTGTGTGTGTGTGAGAGAGAGAGAGAAAGTGGATTGTAGTTCACACACACACATATACATACATACACCCCTCAATCTGTTGAGACGCCGCCATTTTCTGCACGAAGACCCTGTCTAAGCACACGCTGCCATGATTTCCCACCGAGCGACTGACCGTACAAGCTAAGCGACGCTTCACATGCTGGGAAAGCCATGTACAAACCCGGCTTCGCTACCGCGATCCCCCATTGCCTCTGACTTGCTCTTTGCCCACGTCATCCAGTATCTGTTCTTCTTTTCCCCACATTCCGGTGAAAGTGAGTTTTACTTACTCGTTTGGCCCCGCGACACCTACCTAACGGTGTGTTACATATTTTTTTGGCTTATGGACATGACTTGCGCCAGGGCCCCAATATACCTCTCCAACTGCCGGGTTGGAAGAGAGATGAAAAGCTCACTATGCTGTTACTACTATCAAACATACGCGCATATGCCTCGTACCATTCAGGTACCTCAATCACACCTTGACCCCTCCGCAACCCGCTCCTTTCCATCCCTTCCCAAAAAGCAAAAGTCAAGAAAAGGCAAGAAATCTGACCATACATCATCCTCGGTCGACCAGATCTCTCCATCCACCCGCCCAAGTGCACCACTTACTACCCCTGGCTCACAAATCGCCCAGGAGCCCAATCGGCACAAGCTCCATTCGTCTCTCCCTCACTCACTCACCCTGATGATGCCCAGTGCAAGCGAGGGCCAAAAGGCAAGGGTGCACACAGACAAGGGGGGGCGTGAGAAGTGTGTGTGTGCGCACACCCCCCCTCCTTCCCGCCATCCGCGCATCGGGCGTATTACGTGCTTGCCTAATCCAGAGGCTTGACGGCACCACCTGCATGCCTCACCTCGCATCTCTAAAAAGTCGTCCGTCTGGGGGGGGAGGGGGGCCAAGTAGCCGTTACCGTTATACTAGTGGGGAAAAACAAGAATTGCCTAGCCATCTAAAAGCCGTTAGGTTGGGCAGATGATCAATAACTTTGCATTTTTTTTGCCTTTTTCCTTTCCCGTTCCGTTAGTCTGTTAGATGTATGGGGAATGTGGCTGGTTAGCGATTTTGCCAGACCCCGTTGTTGGCAGAAAAACAGGTACCGGTTGCCTATCGGAGGCGAGGAAGGGAAGGGAAGAGTGGCGAGAGCTGCTAGTGCAAACGGCACAGGGGGTGGGAGGATCAAAGCGCATGGTATGATTATCGGTAGGCAAGTATTGGCGAGTATAAATCAGCACGGGAGGGGGAAGGATAACGAAAAGAGTGTTTGGGCCCGGAGGAATGGTTACGGCATCTGCATCGGAGTCTTTTTTGCTTGCTCATCATTGCGAGTCTTGTCGCCTATCGCCACCGTATCTCATACTCGGAGAAGATGGACACTTGGTTCGAGGGGTTGCGGATCTGTGCTACGTTGATCGCGCTTCTATTCTTGTGATTTTTTTGGAGACAACAAGTTGGAGGCGTCATCGTCGTCGTCGTCGACAGTTACCTTGTTTGGGCCGCCCAAGCCTCACTCTGCCCATTTTCTTGTCTTGTTCGCCTTCCGTCACGGGTAAGCTGCTCCGCCGCATCGTCGTTTGTTAAGACAAGGTTTTTTCCTAAGTGGTTGATAGTGGGTCATTTTGGGAAAGCCGGGTATTGGAGAATGGGTGGAGGCGAGTCGATCCCTTGGGAACAAGGGGGGTCCGAATGGAGGGATTGCGCTTTGCTTTTTGCGGCGCAAGATGGTTGATTGAGTGGATGCGGTCTTCCCCGTAGAGCAAGAAATGAGCGTGCTGGATGTGGAGAAAACAAGAAAATATACCCGTAATAACGGCTTTTCGTTGGCTGATGCGGGGATTAACCTTCTCTCTTTTTTGCTTCTTCGTTCCTCCTGCAACGTTGTTGTCACCATATCTCTTTTCCTTCGGCATATACTCCATATTTCCCTTTGTGTATTTCCTTTTGGCACTATCTCTCCGCACCGCCGCCCCCTGCTTATGTTGATCATCCAACATAGCAAGGCTATTGATTGCCAACAGGGTAAACCCGTTGCCAGTCGCCAAAAAGCAATGACACACACGCGGACCCTAGCCCCCCGGTCCATCGCGCCTTCATCCGAGCTCTTCAATAGTTTCAACGTCGGAGACAGATTCCCTTCCCGCTGATATTGCTCCGGCGCCGCAAACGAAAGGGAAGACCCTGGTTAGCTCTACTGCGCGGTGCGAATAATCGACCATCCCAGTAATCGCGCCTTCATGCCGCCTCGTGCGCGCATCCTGTTCCCCGCTTGCGTGTTCGGCTTCGCGCAACCTACCACACCTCTTATTGTTTTCTCTTGGCCTTTTGTGATTTATCGCACTCTCCTCCAGTTTGGGAGCTTGCCACACGCTTGCTCGGCAGCCGTTTGGCGCAGGAGTAGCGAAGTGGGCGCGGGACAGGTCCCCGAATTGCTAGTCTGGGCGTTATAAGGGCAGGGTTCAGGGTCCGCCTGCAAGCGGTATAGTTTGCGCAGGGTTGCTAGTATTGAAAGTCGCGATCGCGCTTGGGCGGATAACTTGTATATGGCGATGATTGCGATGACGAGGGAGGGATAGCCATGAGGCGTGCGTATGTGATGAATCGTGGCTGGCAGTAAGTAGTAGTAGGTAGTCGCGTTGGAGGTTCGCTTGCGCTAGACGATTCGACGTGTCCGAGCCAATGGGACAAGTGTATGTACATACATGCTCGTGGTACAGTCGATTCCGCAACCCCTTACGTGTGCCTCGTTGCTAGGGCAAAACTGATGTATCCTTGGAATGAACACTCGACAAAGCTGCAGAGAAAAAGGAAGTTGCTAAGTAAATACGTCACGTGCAATCTCTCTCGGAACAGCGAGATTCCTGAGTGTGTGATACATTGACGAGGCAGAATAGCTGCAAATAATACCACTTGTGATGCGCATGTTTAAGCTCTCCCCTACTGCCAACGGACAGAACTTACGTTCCTTGCCGTTCTGGCCCTGACGTGATCATGTTTGTCAGGCCACGATATTGTGGCTGCGGCTACCGCTGTCTCAGATCAACCTCGTCGTGCCATTGTGCACGTCAACATCTGAAACCATACTATGAGACAGGCAGGACCCCAGGTTACTAGACACGACATGACGTGGGTTCGGCTCGGTTGGCGTGAACATGCTGACGCCCGGTGAGCTTGGTTCATCGTCATGTAGCAAGTTGCGATATGTGAGACTTGTGTGTGCGCATGTTTCGACATTTTGAGTAATCTTGAGCCGTGTAACTGCGTTTCTAGACTGAGGATGCATTCGAACGTTCCAGAACCTCTAACAAGATGAGAACATTGGTGTTGGAAGTGGTGTTGTGTGGGTCGTAAACTCTGCAACTGTCTGGAAGGACTGAATATAGTAACGGGGTATTACAGAATTGAAGTTTCGTAAAGAAACATGAGAAAGTATGCTGTGGCACCATGTGCCATACTGAGTGTTGAAGAACAAAAAAACCCTCCCCAATTCATCCAAATGTAGAGTAAAAAGTGCGAAATTTCGCAAAGAAAAGTAAGGATAAATGGTTATAGAAGGAAAGCTAACGCATGATATAGAAAAATCAAAAAAAGGATACTGGTTGTGTAGTACAAAGGAAAGGATTAGGGGAAAGACCAATGAGAACGCGCGCCTTGCAAAATTGCCTGGGTATCTTCCCTTCTCTTGCTCCGTTGTTGACATACCCTCAAACACCTAGTCTGTTGTTGCCAAGTCTGCCTTGCCAGAATTGTGGTGTACGCCGGACGTTTGTCAAATCTTTAGTTGCTGCGCCATCAACTCAAATCCCATCCTCCTCGTAAAGTGTTTCCTAACCTATCCTGTCTTCCCAACGCCGCCGCAATGCTCGACTCGCTTGTAGTATCGCGCGTCGAAAAGATGTACGTACTCCCCGATATGTTCGAAAAGTTTCAGGGTGTGTGAATCGAAGAAGAAAGGCATGCCATGGCCCAAATCGTGGTTACGTCGTAGAAAATATTTTGCCAATTAAAGAAGAATGCATGCATGTCCGAAAGAAGTGTGTCGCAGATGCTGAAGTAAATCACACAGAGGACTTTGTGACCAGCACAAGCCCTGTAACCACCTCCCCCTCCTTCTCCTCGTGTTCCCAACCATTGGATTTCTCACCATGCACGGAGGGCCTCAACTTGACTAGTTAAGCCCCCAAAGCCATGGTCGGCCAGTCAATGGTATCTTGCGTCTGGTTCACTCGGGCCGGTTCCCATTTGCGACGGGGTGTATGTGCGCGGTGGTTGTGGTTGCTGTTGTTGTTGTTGCTGCTGCTGCTGCTGTTGCTGTTGTTGAAGTTGTGAATGTTCGTCCTCTTGTGCCTCTTGTTGAGCAAGCTCCATAGCCTGGAGCTCTTCGGCCTTGTCTCTACACGCGTTTGGCGAGAACCCGCTACCGACCTTTGACGAGACGATGCGCCATCGGTCATTCTCGTACTCTTGCATAGCATTGCGAAGCTTGTCAACCTGTTTTTCCGATTGGGGTTAGCATGCTCGGGCTTGTGTTTGCCACACACGACGTTGTGTGTTTCATGGTTAGGAGTAGGAACTTACCATCTCGGACGTCCAAACCGTCGTCTTTGCTTTGAGCTTGGTGCAGTAGCGAACCTGGAGAGTACCCGAGCTACGGCCAGGAAAGAAGTCTGCGATTTGCTTCCAAGTGAGATTCTTCTTTTCCTTGAGATCGACGAGTAACTGGTCGTCTTCGGGGGTGAACTTAAGTTTGGGGCCGCGGGGTCGTTGTGCAGGTGCCGGCATTCCTTCTTGGCCTACGACGCTAGGAGGGCCATGGTGATGAGATGGTGAGGGAGGTGCGCCCTCCATTGCGTGGTGTCGTTTACTGCGATGAGTGCTTGGTAGATGGTGATGGTGAGTTGGAGGAAGAGTGGAGTGAGGAGCGGGCGGTGGCGGCGGCGGATACTGTTGAATAGAATAACTCTGAGTCGCGTGCTGTAGTGAGACGCTTCCCGTTGCTTGTGCGTACGGGTTGAGCTGTTGCTCTAAGGTTGGGGTAAGATCGTGCGGCAAGTCGTCTGGGTGGCTGCGCTTGCGTCCGGCGGTTTGCTGGGGCGGTGGATAGCCCACATTGTAGGATGATGGAGAGTGTTGCGACATGGATTGATGGCGCAAAAGATGGGTTGGGTGTAGTGAGTGTGTCTCGATGTCCGTGTAAGTAGGGTGGGAGCTGGTGCCGGCATGTTGAAGGGTCTGAGACGGATGTGGCTGCAGGAAGGAGTGATGGTATCCCGGAGGCAATCCGGTATGAGAATGCAGGACATTGGAATGTTCGACGCTTGAAGTCGGAATATGATGCTCTTCCCCAGCGTTGCCTGGTACGCTGTAGTCGAGGAAAGGGCCTCGATAGGGACTCGCCAGTGTTGCTAATCCGCATGGAGACTACCAGAGCAAACTCGCTCTGGCAGGCCGCCGATATGAGACCTGGGCCAGAAAGGACAAAAAAAGGGAGAAGAGAGAGAAAAAAAGAGTGCCTCGTTTGAGTCAAGGATTGTGGTTGCGATGAAATGTGTCGCACGCGTTTGGGTTATCTCCAATATTTCTATATTGACAAATGTTGGAGCAAGAAGAGCTTGGGGGAACGCGCCATCGGACAAAGTGTTATCGCGTGTGTTAAGCTTTGGGGTGGCCGGCTATAGCTTGCAGCCTTGTAGGGGAACAGACGAATAGCAGGTTATTGTTGGGGACGGCTGTGGATTATATGATATTTGTGCCTGAGGGCAGAAGGCATTAACAAGGTCGGGCAGTATGTCCCCTCCAAAAACCCGGTCCGTCTTGTGCGATTGCCACACGGACACAGACTCCAAGCATGTACAGTAATGGGTCCTCTCCACGAGACGCTCTGTTCCTGAGAAGGACCAAATGAGCTTAGTAGGGAAGGCCCAGGAACTGATTCTACGTCAAGCATAATGCGGTGATCAATGACCAGGCCTGCGAGGGGAAGGGGGGGGCCTGGCACACGATCTCGTCGAGTGCAATGCTGCCTGGCTCGTGTGGTGAGTGGCTGCCGTTGCAAAATGAGGTGGGAATGAGGTACTTTGGCCGGCCAGCGGGGGCCAGCGGGGCCCGGGGCGTGCGCGGTCCATGCCATGTCGTTTATTTCTAGAATATCACAAGAAAGATCTCCAGCACCGTTGCAGCGTCTGCACGACGAATCCTGGCGCAGCGTGGTGGCCAGGAGATGTGCATTGAGGATGTTCTGAACCGGCTAGCGACACGGCAGGGGCACAGTGGGCAGTTGCCGAAAGGGGAGCGCCACCACCGAGCAGGTGTATGCCAGATTGATGAGACAGTGTCTACCCAGCAGACACGCAGCCACGACCGCGGGAGGAGCGCTCGGGACCTGCTCGGGGGCGAATGCGTCGAGCGGCCCTGCCAGGGTCATGGTGGTAGTGGTGGTGGTGGAGGTGGGCAACGGTGTGTAATGGCATGTGCATGGTCAAAGCATGTAAGTCTGGATGGTGGTGGATGTGATGGTTGGTCGTGTCCAGGCATCCGGTGCCGGTGCGTCAACTGAGGGTCCCCCCTTCATGCCTGGAAGCACCTTGGCCGAGCGCAGAAACCCGTTGAGCATGACGGAGCTTTGCAAAAACGTGAAGCTTTGATCCAGGCAGGATGGGCTTGTCTCTGTCGGCACTCACGCTGCCGTAGCACCCGCCTGTAAGCAGTGGGACCGAGCCATGGCCAGGGCCCTTTGGTCATGGTTCTCTAACGCATAGGCATGGACAGCCTCAGATTGGCTCATGCGTAAGCCGTTTCAAGGTATACACTGAGACCCTGTCCTATATGCGCTTCGTCACCCCCCCGTGAGATGGGACTGGTACACTGCAAATGGTACCAGCCACAAGAATACCCCGACGCCCGCGCCAGATGACGCATTTCGGGCACGCTGCCGAGAGCCAGCAGGCGTGCGGAAGTTGCCAACGGCCAGTAGCAAAGCGAGCCGGCGCTGCGTGACCGGTGACAGTTTTTTCGCGTTGTTTCTTGTGCTGCTTTCATGTGCCGAGTGCTAGTCCTTAGTATACCTGAGACAGTAGCTGGCGAGGTTGGGGGGGGGGGGGGGGTTGGGGGGTTGGGGGGGGGGGGAGGGATTGGGTGGTTGGGAGCATGGCGGCAGCAGCAGCGAGACGTTGTGGGGGAGAAGGTGAGTCGACGTCGGCTGCGATTGATTCGGACCTGGGCGCGCTAGTATCGGGAACGACAGCGACAGCAGCAGCGACATGGAAAGTACAACGCGGTCTTGGCGCTGCTCGCTCGCTACTCAGGCCGGCCGCGATCTGCCCGCCCCGAGTCCCCTCGCATACACACATCTCATCTCTCGACCGCATGCATGAGATGAAGGGCGGATGGCGCTGACGGCGCATCGTGGGCCCCCCAAAGGGTTGCGCGCCTGACGGCTATGCCCTTGCCCGGAAGACAACACTCCTCCTCACGCTGCTCACGCTCCTGCTCCCTTGCATTCGCCTCTCACATCCACCCTTCATGCACGTGATGGGCCTGCCACAGCCTGCACTCTACAAACCCACCCCACCCCTGGCCACGCCTGGGACCTCCCTGCTCCCTGCCTATGCAGCCCTCGCTATGACCTCACTGTTGACATTCAGGCCTAGCAAATGGCCTGCCAATCGTCAAGTACTCGACCAGCGGCGCATTATCCATTTAGGCTGTTGCGGGCCTTTGTGAACTATAGGCTCGACGGGACGCACCATGTAACCCACTTCACCCTCGCCCTCGCCCTCGTTCAGCACTCTTTCCCCCATCCGCGACCCTCATGTCATCCAGCCTGTCTCGTGAGCGGAGCGCGTGCAGGGCATCGACTGCGAGTTGCGGCACATGGTGGGCGACTGAGTTGAACCCCCAGTCGCTCACTCATACCGGCGGGCCTCTGCCCACCTGCAGCTGCTGTAGTTCCTAAAAGGAAACAAAAAAGGACAAGCGAAAGAGAGGCAAAAGAGAACTAGGACATCTTCCCATTCCCAAGCGCCTTGGGGGGTGCAACCATTTGCACACCCACTGAACTGGCTCGGTAGTGTAGCCGGAGCCTTTGTCTGGTAACGGCCACCCGTTACACGTGGCTATTTGCAACATAGATTGTCAACACGACCGTTGATTGCACGAGCAATTGGACCATTTTTTTTTGTTGAAGGCGCAGCTGGCTATTTGTGGCACACCTAGAGGCGGGCGGGCTGCCGTGTGTGTACTGTACTATGAGTATGGCGTGTGTACCAACAACGGCATAAGAGCACGCTGATCGGCATGCGGCAACTTGCAGGAATCAGGCAAAAGGATTCAAAGTGTGGCGAGGTGTTGAAACATTTGGTTGAACTGCTGCAGGTTTGCAAAACCAGCGATACGTTGACATGAAACAAAAACATAATCAGGACGGGCCAATGAGCAGTGCAGTGATGACCTCTTTTTGCAAAGCCCTTTCCCCACGTTTGACACGCCATATTGCCATGGGTAGACCATTCATACGTAAGGATAGCCGATACTAAGTCCGGGATAGGGACAACCCCCCTCGCAAGCCCTTTGCCGAGCCCTCTTCCGAAAGAAGAGCCAGAGGAACCAAAAAAAACTCCCCCCAAAATAAACCTGGCCACGTTGTCCCGAAAAACACTCAAGCATTGTGTAAATCATCAAAGACGAAGGAATCCTCGAGTACGCCACTGGCCAGGAAACAGAGTGCAGAAACACCAAGCAGGACGGACGAATGGCTACCTCGGTTGTGTGCAGACCGAGCTAGATTGAGAGGAGAAGAACGCTGGTAGTATCGTCATGAACCTGGCGCATCGTACGAGCAAGCGGGAACATGCAGACGGATGGTGGGCATGGGTCCCTCAATACTTGCCACCAAAGTTCTCTTTTGCGTATTGCTCGCATGCCTGGTGTCCGTGTTAGCAGCAGAGTCGATGCTTGTCTTGTCCACGGGGACGCGAAACAGGCCGCAACGTACTTTTGCAGGTTTGCCGACCTTCTGCCCAATGACTTTCCACTTGTTGGCATCGTACTCCTTGATGGCGGCAAGCAGCGCGGCGCTCTTCTTACTCATCAGCATACACGCACGACAATGTCAGCGGGTGCACAACTCACTTCATCCTCTGCGAACTCTGCGTAGTGCATGTCCTGGAAAGTCAGCAAAGGGGCAACACGACGGTCGGGGACTGGCGATGTTTCCTACCTTGTACCAATGCTTCTTCACACTTCCTTCGGTTCGCTGCGGAAACGTCTATAAGGCACACGATCAGTTACTTGGTACGTTCTGGCAGGCGCTATGTGTTTGGGGTGAAGAGCTAAAAGGGAAGCAGCGACTGCGACATGGGCGCACCTTTGCAATCTCACTCCAGCTGTTGCCCGCATCTCGCATTTGCTTGAGTCGCAATTCTTCGGCTGGGGTCCATGGTGTGTTGGTACGACTCTTTTTGGCCTTTGGTTCCTGGACAGCGTCTGGTTGAGGGGGCGGGGGTAATGCTGCACTGGTTGCGTGGGCTTCTACGCTGCTCTCTGTCGCACCGGCCATGGGCTCGTGCGAGTGTCCGAGTGTGACCGACTTGCGCTTCCGGCTGGTGGGAGAAGGAAGTGGCTGCTGAGGGCCGAGATGGGTGTCTTGAGCCGGGGCAGTCAACGAGGCAGCCGGGTGTAGAGTGGGCAGGTCGGCAGGTGCAGCAGGACGAGCCGTCGGGGGTGGGTTGGAGGTCATTGGCGATGGCTTCAAGCTGCGCTTGGTGGAGGGCGGGGAGCTGTCGGGAGCCACGACGTCAGCATGCGCGGCAAAAAAAGAGCAAACGTCAAAGCAAGAATGCAATGGCAAAAAAGGTCTTGCGGCCGGGGCCAGGGCAGGGCAAAGGCAGCTGGAGAGACTCACGACATGGCGGCAGACGGGAAGTGACGAAACTCGACGAGGATAAGAGGTTAGCCAGGCTCGAGGGAGGGGTGCGACACGAGACAGCTTCACTGGAGAGCGCGAGGAGAGGCTATGTCGAGCAGTGTCATGCCGGTATATTACAGCTTGGAGAACTGCCTTCAAAGAGTACGACGGCCAGAGTAAAGGCAGCAAAGCATCATGATATCCAAGTAGGGCGGTCGGCTGCAGGAGCGAGCGCTGATCAAGTACAAGGAATACAAAGGAGGTCAGGTTGGCAGGAGGCTGGCGAATGAGAGGGGGGCAGTGGCAGCATGGTGGAGGACGAGACAGAGGCAGTGAGGTTGAGTGGGCAGATGCTAGCGGGGGTTGGCGGCGGCGCTGGGGGGGCAGGTGGGTAGGGGGTACATGTGAGTAGGTGAAGTCATGGTGGAGGACAAAGTACAGATACGCGGGGACGCGGTGCAGACAAGAAGCGGGGTAGCCGGCTCTAGGGGCCAGGCTTAGATGAACAGGTGGCTGGCGATTGAATGTTACCGCGACAGCAGGATGGATGGATGCTGCGAGGGGCGGGGGAGAGAGGGAGAGAGGGAGAGTGAGGGCAGCGCGTGACAGGCGAGGTGCATGCATCGTCGACTTGATAGTACTAATGGGTGCAGCAGCAGCAGCATGGTGTTGCCGGCATGGCGTCTTGCGGGCTGTGAGTGAGTGAGTGAGTGTGAGTGAGTGAATGGGGAGCGATGGGTGAGTATGTGTGAGTAGCAGCAGCAGTAGTAGTAGTGGGTGGGATGTACACGGTGGGGCAGACGAGGCAGGAGAGAGAAAGCAGAGCGAGTGCATGTCGTGTGTGAAGCAGAGTCATGGCCTGGCGGGTGGGAGGTGACGCGCAGGCCGTGGTCGCATGCAAGCGAGTGGTGGTTGGCGATGATCACGACTAACGACTAACGACTACGACGACTACGACGACTACGACGACTACGACTACGACGTTGGGCACAGGGAAGCGCGGTAGACAAAAGTCGCTGGCCAGAAGCGGGGCAGGCTTGGGGTAGTAGCGTGCATGGGCCGGGCCCTCATCGGTAATCAACACCATGGCCGCTCCTTGCCCATGGGCCCCAACCAGCCAGCCAGCCAGCCAGCGTCACACAGAACCGAACATTGTCGCCTGTTGTTATCCTGCTGCTGCTGCTGTTGTTGTCGTCGTTGTCGTCGTTGTCGTTGTCGCCAATGCATACAAGGCCCCCCTCCCCTCCCCTCCCCACTGGACATGTAATGTACAGTACTGTATGTCCATGATGCCTACATACATGTAAGTAAGGTATACGCTTGTACTTACATACCAGTAGTACGTACACACATGGGCGCACTCACACACACACACACACACATATTGCGCTGTGTGAGCACCCACCCACCCACTTTACTTACCTACCCCACCCCAGTCTTGTCCGCACTGGCACTGCCATCGGACAATTCTCACATCCTCACCAAACAGCGACACCTCGCGCACATGAACAAGCATACTGTTAGTGGGCAATGCGGGGGAATTAAAGGCTGCCTCAAACATGCTGTCGCTGCCATCAGGCCATCAATCGTTCTCTCCACGCCTCGCCTCCGCTGGTCTGCATGCCAGCCAAGCGTCAGCTCCAGCCGCCCTGACGCAGCGCCAGTATCACCACAAGCCACAGGTGTTTGAGAGAACCGCTCAGGCTCGACCCCCGCCACTGACCGCCAGTCGCCAGTCGCACGCCGCCGACCCATGGCTGCTGTCGCTGCCACCGCTGCCAAGTGCTTCCGCCTGAAATGCCTGCCTGATCTGTTGATGCTCACAGCGGAATCCCCTCGACCCGAACTTGCTCTCGTTTCGCTCGTCTCACACGGCGTCGTCATCACCGCTTGTCCATGTTGCGTCTGCGCCCCCCAATCTCCCACGCATCCCCTCAAAAAAAAACTTATTCGCGACCTGCTGTCCGACTACTGCAATTGATGGAGCAGGCCAAGAAGGCTCGTATCATTACCACCAAACCTCGCCGATCCTCCATAGCCCATGTTTCCCCTCGACGCCATTGGCGAAGCCGCCCGGGGCACAGTCCCCTACACACCCTGTCACTGCGTCTTCTAGGTTAGCCCCCGCCGTCACGACGCTCTGGGCGCTGCTTGTTTCCCTGCGGGCCAAACAACGTCAAACCATTGCCTCCTTCAAAACTGCATCAAGTCCGACGCGCGCGGTTTTGAAACTCGCCCCGTGAACACGGATGAGGCTCACTCCCTTATGCGCCCCACTCGCCTACCCAAGGGCCCCAGGCATCAACATTGAATGCGACCACAAGTCCGTTCCCCTTCCGGCTTAACATGTCTCGTGTCAAGGTTCTTCCAAACATTCTGGCTACGAACGCCCGTCATGCCCCATACCGCCGATCAAGATTCGAGTAGCAGAAGCGACGGTTTGAAAACGTTGCCAATGTCAGAGACTGCCACTCCTCTTCAGCCTGGTCTGCCTCCTCCAAGACAAGCCCGTTTCCTGTCCTGTGTCCAAACTCTATAATTACTCCGCTGCCCCAAGTTTCGAGGCCTCAACCGCATCTGTTCAATCGGCAATCAGTCTTTTGTTTTCTTAGCAGCCTTGTAATACTCTCTTTTACATCCCCACTGGTTTGGGCTGCCCTACATTCACTTAATCAACATTGCTGTGCAATCTACTTGTCCTTACCGCATAATACCTTCTTTTTCAGAGCTAGACTCGATCAACCGCGAACAGACTTCTTTATTCAAAACAAGACGACTCGGCACGACTTTTGCAAAAGCACAATCATCTTGCCAACTCAGCTACTACTACACGCTTCAACTATCAACCATGCTTCACCACCAGCCCCAGATTCTCTCTCCTCTCCCAGAGATGAACTCGCAGTCCCCTACCGATTCTTCCAGCCTTCGTGCTCGCAAGATGTCGGCCGGTGGAAATAGGTCCTGGTCCGAAGAAGAGGTGAGTTTCTTGTTCATGCCTATCAAATTTCCCCCGTTTCTAACATCAGACAGGAAAACTACCTCCTCCAGACCCGTATGCAAAAGATGCCTTACAAGCACATTGCAGCACACCTCAAGAAGACTGAGCTCGCCTGCCGCCTCCACTACCACCAGCTCTCTCACGGTAGCCACCGCCGCAAGCGCAACAACTCTGTCTCCTCGACCACCTCGTGCAGCTCTACCGGAACTTCTGCTGCCTATGGCATGGTCGCCGAACAGGATGCCTACTCGCAGTCGTCTCGTCACAGCTCTCCTATGAGCTACACGGGCAGCCCTCATGTCCGTGCTGGCTCGGTATCCAACTCTCCCGGCCGCTCGCAGCACAAGATTCTCCTCCCCAAGCCTCGCACTCTTACCCCCTGTGGTTCGCCTGAGCCATACAATGGTCTCCGCATTAACACCGAGGTTGCTCACCAGCCAAAGGTTGTCGATACCGATCGCCTTCGCTCCATCTACGAGGCTCGCCGCCAGCAATTCTGGGCCACTGTTGCTGCTGACTACGGTGCGGATGTCTCCCCTGCCCAGCTCGAGGAGATCTGGCGCAGCGGCTCCAACGCCGTTCGCCCTCCTACACCCGATGCCTCGCCTGACGGTACCATCATGCACAACCCCGTCTTCAAGCCTGCTCCTTTCCAGTCCTATGCTTCCCCTGCCCAGAGCGAGCCAGCCAAGCACTACAGCCCCATGAGCCAAAACAACGCTAGCGCTATCTCTGTCCCGGAGCGCATGCCATATGTCCTCCCCATGCCAGTCCCCTCTTCTGGTCGCCCAAGGTCTTGGAGCTCTGCCCCAAGGGATAACATGCCCATTGCTAGCCTGCTCAACGACGACAGGAACTAGATTGGTTTACTGCCTTTACGTTTCCTGTACACGATAAAAACACATGTTTGGCATTTAGGCACATTGGGAATATGCATATTATGGGTTAGCATGGCTTTCAATTCTTTACTTTCATTAATTCTTCATTCAATCAATGCGTTTTTTTTTTCTTCCTCTACGACTCAGTTGAACTTGGCATGGCATGGTATATGCGATCTTCTGATATGACACTGCACGCGTTTCGCTTTGGTCTGGCTGGGGCGGAGCTTCTTCCATTCACGTCTCTGGAATTTGTCACCGTTTTCCACTTTTCCTCGTCTTTTATTGCAAGGGTAGCTTATTGGCTACTGGATAGAGCGGGTGTTCTGGCGTTGCAACTGTCTCGTCTTTTTTACAATTGTGGATATAGCGTCAGATAGCTATGTAGGGTCCAGACATGTGGCGCAAACCCTAGGTCTAGAACACATGTTTCCATATGAACGCCTTCTCCACTTGCTGTGAACCTGTGGCGCTAAAACCACATTGTCTTGATTGTGAGTGTAGGAGATATATTATCATCTAGCATTGTTTGCGATATTGGACTGTAGTCACCCTGATAATTTCGCTTAAGCCCCATACCTTGTTATTTCGAGGGCGTTAAGCGAGAATGTTGTAACAGGTGTTCGGGACTACTACTAGTACTAGCGCTTGACATTTTGCCAGCCGCCATGCTCGACATTGCGGATTTGTGAACCTGTCATTAATCCTTTGGGTGCAGTTTTGAAGTTGCAAGTGGGTAAGACTTATAGTAGGTTGTGATATTATCGGCGCTTGCTTGCATCGCAAAATTACTTGTTCGCATTCGCGTTCAACAAAATGCACGTGTCGTGCATAACCCCATGTTGCACAAAACCAAAGGTGGGGTAAATCGCCAAACCGCAATGGGAAACAGACATGCTTGTTATTGCGCAAAGTTCCTACTACTACGCATCTGTCATCGCCCAGCTTCTTGTCTCTTTTCCATCTCCGTCAGCGGTTGCGATGCATCCTCGGCGGCTACGTATCCCATCTCTTAGCTCTTTCCCAAACAAGTATTGTCAAGTAAACAATCAAGAACAATCAAAAAGAAAATCCCAATCACCGGGAACGCGGTAGGTTGGCCGTGCACACGTGCCTTATCCCCCGTACCGTTCCTCCGCATTTCCGTATCTTGATATTTCTTTACTTTTGCCTCTATCTGTTTCATTGAAAGCAATCACACTGCAAACAATTTAATCTCCGAAAAAGTACAGGACATGTCTATCAAACATCAAAACAACTAATGCCCCTCCCGTCCTGCAGGAGTCAACAACGGCCCTAGTTTCTTTTCCGGCTCTCGCCTTTCCTTCCCCCAGGCTATTCCCCGCGTACCGGGGCATTCACTTAGGTGCAGATGTTTTCATTTCCTGAGTTCCGCAGTGCATGGGGCGCAAGCACACCAGCCACCGAAAAGGGCAAGAACAACCAAAATAAAGTTCAAACAAACAAACGGCAGCCACAACGACATGGCCGGTTCATCTCGGCACTCCGTTGCACTTGCTCCCCCACCTTCCTCCTCACAAACCCCTCTTGCCTCTGCTTTCCTCCTTTCCTCCTCAACCGCAAAACACCATCACTGTTCAACCCCATTCTTCTCGCCCACCCACTCGCTTCACTGAAACCCTCCGCTTCTCGTACTCTGCTGGCGCTACTGCAACTGTTTGCGCGCGCGCGTGTCGGGCGAAAAGAATCAGATAGCGCCGAACGCACCGTTTGGCTCAAAATGTTTCAAGTACAATGAGATGGGGGTCCACGCCCCGCACAACTTGTTCCAAACGATGCCAAACACAAATTGCTTCGCATCCATGTATCCGCCTCTACCCTCCCCGCAATCCCGCAACGGCTATCGCCAATGTAGCTTGGGGACTCGTGAGGGCTTAATTTGCTGGGCTGACGATGGTCGGGTTTCTTCGCCTGTCTTCCCGCAGTACCGTGTGGGGGTTTCTTGACATACTGTTTGATACACGCTATGTTCCTGACTTACAACGGGTACTATGCGATACTGCACAGCGGCATCGCATCCTTCCCTCATCTACACACATCCACTGCATACGAACAAAGTGGAGAAACCTATCAAAATAGCGACACCAAAACAATCCTTCGTCGCGCGCGAGCCAAGTATACAAAATGGCCATGAAACATTTACCACCGCACCAGTTCCTCCTCGCCCCGCCTTTACTCGCGCACAAAAACAATCGCCACCGGAATACGAGTTTATAGTAAACATGGTATTCTGCCTTCCTATTCAAACTTCCAGAACAATACTTACTGAGATTCACCGTACCCTTCAGCCTCAGGGTCAACAACCCACACATCCATAAACGGCCTTTCCGTCCTCTTTCCATCCACATCTCTCGGCACGCACTACGCCATTCCCCGCATTTCCCGCAGACGCGAGACGGAATTCACCGTTATGGGAAGGCGGGTACTCACTAAAGCCCAATAAATCACCAAAAAAATCTCGAAAAATCGTACGATTTTTGTGCCGTCGACTATGTACTTACCATGTCCCCTTGCGGGAAGGGGGGATTTGTGAACCGTTTCAGGTAATTAGGCATGCTGATCGCTCGGTATGGACAGAGGCAGTGCCGTGCCCTAATCGATTACTATAACCCGCTAACGTCAGGTTACCCTACTTCTTCTATCGTTGCGCCAGCGATAGATTGCTACGTCAAGGTAGTATTCTGGATTTTTTGGGGCGTCGTGCTTGTCCTCGGTTGCCCTGCTCCTGGTACTTCCGGTGAGCAAAAAAGAGAAGCGGAAGAGGAGGGTCCACACAGATTGGGAAAATGTGGAAGAGGAGGTTTTCTCGGTGGATTATTTGCTTCCTCGCTGCATTCGATCATTCCGTCTTGGATTTGGAATTTTCCACATGCTGCGCATTCGATGAGAAGGAATCAAGGGTCCGCAAGATTGGGTATACGATCGCATTTCATGCGTCTATCTGTCTTTCTCGTATCGACCATCTAGAAGGCTGCCTCCTTTTCCATGGCCCATGGCGTCAGCGTGGGTGGTATGCGTGGTGTGTTTCCATTCTAGAAGGAGGCATGGTGTTCTTTTCGACCAAACACACTGACGCCTCCCCGGCACCCCCCTGTCCAAAAAAAAAAGCCACCTCATTTTCGGCTTACCGAACCATCGTGCACATCTCCCGTCCGCTGCTCTCTCACCCCCGATGTCATTGCCCAACGCACATCCCCAAACGCCACAGGCTGGTCCCCCCCCTTCCAAAATCTGACTCGCTGATACGGCGGATTACCTACGGGAAAGCCAATTTCCCAGGCCCATCAATGTGGCTGTCACTTGTTCCCTGTAACCAGGACACCGTTTCCATCGAACTCCGATCCTCCTTGATCCCCCTTGATCCTCCCACTCCAACGAGTCAATTCCCATGTCCCTTGCGCCCCGGCGCATCTACCAAGTCTGGATGCGGATCTGCACTCCGGCAGTCCTTGCGTCTTTGTCGGGTCCCTTTGGTGTCGCCCGCCCTGCGACTCGACGTGTCGGGCGTCCATGTGGAGATTCAGGGTCTGAGCGCTTTAAGCGGCGTTTATGCGAACTGGGGTTGGAAGGACATCAAGTGGAGACGGGGACACGCTTGTTTTTTTGCTTTTCTTTTGCACGGGCTACAAGGCGCATAAATGTTCGTTGCTAACTACGTACGCGCGCGATGGATTGCAAGCCTTGTAAGGCTGATGACTCCGCGCGCCCTTTTTTTTGCATGAACAAAGTACAGGTTCACCCCCATCAAGTCATCTTACCACGCATGTTGCTGTGCTGTGTGGCGCTCTTCGGTCATATCCGATTGATTTTACTTACTTGGGGAAGAATTGCAGTCGACCAAAGCGTTAGGGAAAGAGGACCGACAATCCGTGACGTGTTTTGCACGTACGTAGCAATCAGAGTTGCCCGTCCACGGTATGCATGCAAGGCATGGGCGGGGGGACGGGGGGACGTGTGGGCTGCTGAATAAGGAGGCTCGCTAGGACTGTGTGTCACGGAGCTGCGTTGCCCGAATCCAATACACTATATGCTCGTTGTCGGTACCGCACGGTGTGATGTTAGACCGATAGTAATGCCGCAACAAAACCCAAGGTGGCTGAGCATGTTCAAGTGGTCGTCATCATCATCAAGGATCTGACTCTGCTTGTACCGTCGCCGACGACGACGATTCGCAAGCAGTGTGGTTGATCGGTTGCGAGCGTCTCCTGTCCTCAGGGTCTTGCTCCCCCTTTCCTTTGTTGTCCAACGTCTTCACACCGCTCCGCTCAATATCTTTTCTCAGCTCAGCTTCCTGTCGCGGGTCCTCGGTACCTTTGGCACTGTACTCCTGGTCCATGCGGTGCATGAGCTCTTCACCTGGTAATAATATACTTCGGTCAATTGCAAAAGGCAGACCTCGATGGCGACCGCGAAGCATTGCAAATAGCAACACGACTTTGCTCAAGCTGGCAAAGTCGCCGCAGAGGCTGTAGTTTTTACCGGGCACACCGAGACTCAGGCCGACGGTGCCATATGCTGATGTGACTTCGAAGAGTATGGAAAAGATGCTGAAGCCGGGATCGGCATTCAGGATATGACGTCTTTCGATGCAGCAGATGAGGAAGAAGACGAGGAATTGGAACCAGATGTCGTAGGCTAGTTGTTTCTGCAAGTGTGAAGCTACACCAGTAGCACTATTATCACTCTCTTCCAGTCCAATTGATCTTTCCTCATACATGTTCGTCTTCCTCAGTGTCAGCGTCATTGGATAAATCGAAATGTACCTAATCAAACAAAGGAATAAACGTTAGCATAATCTATAAATATCATCCATTCGTATTTGCAAGCAAAACTCACATGATGACGAGATACGCAACCAGACATGCTGGAGCAAGAGAACTCAAAGAGATGATGTACGCTCCACTGGTCCTGAGTCCACTGGCTTGAAAGAGTCCATCCAGAATTCGTGTCCCAGTCGACAGAGCCTCAACATCCGGCATCCCGATATTGAGAATCTCAAAGCAAAGCCACGCAGTGACATCAATAACAAACTGCGCGACGAATAAATACAGCGTCTCACGCGCCGGAAAAAGATAGATGAAGCAGCGTCTGGGATGCTGCAGCAAAAACTCCATTGTATTCCTGAACCGTGACTGCCTGGGTGCCATCTTCTTGAGTCCCCAAATCGTGACGCGAAGAAAGATCGGAAACTGCGTTTGGCCCGCGAAAGCGACAGTCACAGAGACGAGCAGGACATAGGGGTAGCCGCTGAAGGGGATAAAGTTTGCGTTCAATATGTTCAGACCACCATTTGCAAACTCAGTGACTGTGGCGAAGAAGCCCCACCAGCCTGGATTGATGCCCTCGGGTTGGGCGGTGTATAGCACGTTTTTGATATTCTCTCGATATGCATAAGGGAGGAGGAAGGTGATGCCGAGGAGATACCAGAAGAGTTGGTAGCCGACCAGAATCAGGAGTAGAGCTTGTAAAGCGCGGTACTCGACGCCTCCGAGTTCCATGCGATCTGCCTCGCTGAGATCGCGGAAGCGGCCCCTGGAATCCAAATGCGGTTTAAAGGATATGTAGTCTTGCTGCTCTGGTTTTAGTTCTGTGGCGAAGAAGTCGATGAAGCGGCGGAAGAGATTCTGTGCGAATTGTGTTTCCCAGGGTGTGGGGATGAAGCCGAAGCCTGTTTCGTAGTGGTAGCTGCGTTGACGAGGTGCGGGCTTGGTGTTCACTTTGGATGGGGTCTCATTGTGGGATTGTTTGCCTTGGGCTTGATGGCTTTGAGATACTGTGGATCTTTGTCGTAGGCCTCTGTTGCTATTACTACCGCTGTTTTCAGCCTGATCCGATTGGTAATTTTGTTCGATATCTTGAACTAATCGTTGCATTGTGTGCGAGTGCTTTACGACATCTGCTAGTTTCTTGCGGAACAGAGTTCGTCTGATCAAGACTACGGCTGCGGAGACAAATGGTATGTTGCCGACCATCATGAGAATGGCAAAGGTGGCTTGTTGGTAGCCAGATAGTGGGCCGAGATCGACCGGATTGAGACCTATCTTGCCGTTAGTCGGTGAATACAACTGATCTGATGACATGGCTTACCTGTTGTAGTCATGGCACTACAGCATAGGAACAATGCATCTGTATACGTCATATGGGCACTACCCAGTTCTTTCGGTCCATCGGCACGACCTTGACCATACACAACAAGCGAGGAGACGAAGATGACGATAATAAAGTACAGCATGTGCGCTCGATAAAAGTTCAATCTGAACACCTCATTTTTCATATACTTGATGAAGTCGTCTCTCGCCTTCCGCGGACTCTGGAGCTCTTCCAGTGGATCTGTCATGATTGATTCGTCCGAGTCGTCGTGGTCGTCAAGTGGCTGCCAGAACGAGCTCATAGTCGGTGGTCCAGATCAATTACCTTTGTACTGTCGCCCCGAGCTACCAGGTTCTGTTTCCGGCGTCATCCGGTCCAGGGCGCTGATGTGTTGTTGTTGTTGTTGGAAAGCCATGTTGCTAACATGCTGGCTGGGTTACGTTGATGATGTCACTCAATGTCACTTGCTGTAGCGTGTTTCCTAAGCGAATCAATAGCCGCCTCAGACACGAGGCATGATGGCCATCAGGTCCCTGTTTGTTGTGATTGGCGCATACAATTGACTTTTGACACGTCGCAACTCGTAGCGTTCGTTTCTAGTGATGGTTTGGCGTAAATTTATTCTAACTTGCGCTCACAACCCATGTACACACACTTCCTTGGTCTTCTAGGGATTGCATGTCTGACAGAGAGCTCTATACGTATAAGATATTGATCGTAAGAAATATAACCATGAACATATTGCCCTAAACGCCTGCCGTTGTCCTCCAGAATATCCAGCCTATACCAATAGCAGCATGTGCGTATGAGACCAGCTCCCAGAACTTGACATGCTAGATTTTATGAAGAAAGTAGGCCGTTTGATATACCCAAAATCCACCTTGCTTGCCATAGATCGCTCACTTGCTAAAGTCGATAGGATACTTTAGTACATCGTATTTATTTTCTGCTTTCGCCGTCTGCGTTCTTTTAACTTCTCTTGTCAAACGCCTGCTCAATTTATCTAATACTTTGTCTTGACTAGCAAAATCCCAACTTGCCATCAAGAAATCAGCAAAATTTGATCTGGAGCCTTGATCGCTGTTGCCAATTCCAGTGCGTAAAGGATTCGTTTGGCCTATCTCCACTATATGATCGAGTAACCGCCTGAGGATCCGTGTATTATAATGGTAGAATGTCAGTTCGCACTTTAGCTTATAGCGATATAAGATGGTAAGAATATAAGCAATATGAATGGCGTCAAGTTTCGGACGGGGTTTGTACACGGCCATTATTCGATTCCAAGGGACTAGAATGGTGAGGTATCTGAATGATCCAATGAGATTTGACGCAGCAAGTATGGACAAGAATTGCTGTAGATCTCGGTGCTCTCTGTCATGATGGTAATGATAACGTGGTTTGCAACAAAACTGGACCTGGCGTACGTACTCCGTGAGAAACTCTGAACGAGTGGCGGGATCACGCGCGAAGTTACTCCCCAGTACCGCTTGAATTCGATGGTTTTTGGGAGGTGAGTGTCTGCAACGTGCGCACACGTTGTCTTCATAGATTAGATCTTTGAGAAGGTGTGATTAATGATCGCAATGGCCCACAGGCCCAATGAAGACTAGTTGGTTTTTTGCGTATCCATCGGGTTTTTCGTAAACAATGGATGGGCCCATTTCGGGGAATGCGGCTTTGTAGACCATCAAACGTAACTCTGGTGGGAGTCCGGGTGAGCCAGTGAGACCATTGTTCACAGCAAAGGTGCAGAATTTCTTCGTGGCCTGTTTCTGGGGCACGTTTTGCTTCGGGTCTTTGGAGGCTGTGTGATTGGACTTTTCGCCAGCTTCGCCTTCGTTTGCGCGGGTACGGCCAGTTTCATGATATGATGATGTTGGTGTAGTTTCAGTCTTGCAGACCGACTCATGCGGTGCTTCTGAAGCTGTAGTCGTAGGGATATCCATGGCCAGAACGTTGACTGTGACGAGTTAGATGCATAAATTTTGATTGAGCTTTGGAAAAGAAGTGTAGATACCGGTATGATTTGGCTGAGAAAGCAAGATTATATGTGGCCTGTAGAGAGAAGAATGGACGAGCTATGGAAAGCACTATCAGATTGTGGAGAAGGAAAGAAGTAATTGTAACTAGTGCTAGACTCAAATAGGCAGAGTATCACTTAGAAGGCAGTCAAAGTAAAGGACAACCTAACAGAAAAGGGTAAACCGTACAAGGTAGAGTCCGTAGTAAGAGAGACACGGGCATGATGTTAAGCGGGGTGACACAAGTAACACTATTACCATGTAGCTTTCTAGAGCATGTTTTTGTAAGAACAGTAAAAGGGACATGCGCTGATTGGCCCGTGTAACAAATCTAGGCTACCAAGACATGAGTTTGCGCGAAGAATGCCCAATTAGGAAGTTAGCCTCTCTTGCTGTAATATTACCTGCGAACTATTCAATCACATGTAAACATGTTCACATGCTCAGCTAAAGGTAGGCATTCCACCCTATCACAACCACCCATATCCCTTAACGAGAAACTCTATTCTTCCTCACCGCTTACATCGCTAAACGTTCAAAAAAGAACGAATCACCGGCTATTCCGATACGGCAAAGCGCTTGTGCTTGTTGCTTGCGTGCTACAAGCACCGGATAAGCAAATGCGCAAAGTGGAGAAAACCCAAAAAAAAAGCAGCACAAAGTGGAGTTGTCTTCTCCGCCACACCAAAAAACAGGTACCTGAACCCTGGCGCGGTTCGGTTCCATTCAAACACGCGCGGCGCATTTGGCCTCCGGCAATAGTAGTAGCCCAGCCCCCAACCACTTGTGAACCCCGATGAAGCAGCAATGCGCATTCAAATACCCGCAACCCGCAAATCACGCGATAAAGCAAAAAGAGAATAGACAAAATACGAGATATATATGTGTGTGTGGGTGTGTGTGCGACATAATCTATCATCTTAGTCCGATCGGAATTCGGAATGATAAAAAGGGCACATTAGCAAGCGACAACGGCGATGTGTGTGTGTGTGTGGGTGACTCGATCCTTTTCTCACACCGTCAGATAGGCGCCCTGTCAAAACGCTTGCACCCCGCAATGACGGCGGGACTAGGCCGCTCGTGGTTATGGGTCATGGGGACGACAAGCGGGCGGCGGCAGCGGCCGACTCAAGACCAAATGCGACCTTGCGCATTCTCCATGTTTGGGCAATGTGACTGTTACCTCTCTCTCTCTCTCTCTCTCTCTTCTTATTTACCCAGCCTTCTTCTCCTCCTTCTTTTTTTTTGCGCGCGCTCTGTCTCTGTTTCGGTTGGCCGGTCGCTCTACTTTGCTTGCTGGGAGATTTAGCTATCTAGATAGCTAGTAGCGGAGCAATAGCATGCGAACACCGCAGTCACCGCCGTCATGACAGAACATCAGCTACCAGTTAATCAACTGGTCATTCTATGTACGTTTTTCATTACTGCATGCGCTCCCCCAATTAACTGCGTGCTTTGTCGCTAACCTTGTGTGTGTGTGTGTGTCTTTATAGCAATATGCCGCTTTGCCGAACCTATAGCCTTGACTTCGGTCTTCCCGTACGTCCCTGAACTCATGGAATCCTTTGGAATCCCCAAAAACGACATTGCGCGCTGGGCTGGTATTTCCTCGTCGATATTCTCCCTCTGCCAGGCGTTTACGGGCCTGTTCTGGGGCGCGGCATCGGATCGCTATGGCAGAAAACCAATTATACTGTTTGGCCTGTTCAATACCATGTGGACGATGCTGCTATGGGGCTTTTCCGTCAATCTGCCCATGGCATTGGTGGCGCGCGCTCTGGGGGGTCTGTCGAATGGAAATGTCGGTATCCTGCGAACGACCGTGGCGGAGCTGTGTCCGTGGAAAGAGCTGCAGCCTAGGGCTTTCAGTGTGATGCCCCTCGTGTGGACTGTAGGCGCGACGTTTGGACCGACTCTCGGTGGTGCGCTTGCGAATCCGCTGGGCGTGGATCCGCGGAAACCACGAGGTACCGCATTTCTGGAAAGGTTTCCCTACGTTTTGCCAAACATTGCCGCCGCCATATTCTTCACCGTAGGAATTGTTGTTGGCTGGTTGTTTCTCCGGGAAACGCTGGAGAGCAAGAAGCACGAGCCGGATCTAGGACTGAGGGTCGGCGCCAAACTAACATATTTTGTCCGGAAACTGCTGCATTTGAAGACGGAGAGAAAGGGTCTGGATGGCGAGAATGAACCTCTTCTCGGCCGGCAAAAGGCAGTAGACGCTGAAGCAGCTGCTTCACCTCGTGTGAAGAAACAGAACACCAAGGAGAAGACGCCCTCAGTTCGAGATGCTCTGACGTTTCAAACATCAATGAACTTGGTTGTATACACACTGCTAGCCCTGTACTGTCAAGCATACGATCAGGTAAGTTCATTTTACAAGTCGGTCTACCACTGCTAACCACCTATAGCTGCTTCCCGTATTTATGCATCACCCTGTCCAGCTCGATTCTGATCCCGCAGTCTCGCTCCCGCTCAAGTTTGCAGGGGGATTTGGTCTCGAGTCGCGCCGGATTGGCCTCATCTTTACCCTCTTTGCCATTACGAGCACAGTATGCCAATTTCTGCTCTTTCCACCCGTTGCTCGCCGTCTTGGAGTGCTCCGTTGTCTCCGCATCGCCTTCATCATGTTCCCGTTGGTGTTCTTTGTGACGCCATTTTTGTCGCTTATTCAGGACCCGATTTCGCGGCAGATTGCCATGGTATTGCTGTTGGTGGTTAGAGGGGTCGCGGGTACATTTGCATTCCCGACGAGCACCATCATGCTCACGAATAGCGCGCCGAGTCTACGCGTATTGGGAACGATCAACGGGCTGGCTACAAGCTTCAGTGCTGTTGGCAGAGCAGCCGGGCCGACGCTGGCAGGCGGACTATTCACGTGGGGCGTCAAACGCGGCTATGTGATTGTGCCTTTTTGGACGTTATCTATGATTGCATTTGCTGCGTGTATTCCGACATTATGGCTAGTGGAAGGAGAGGGGTTTGGTGATGATTCCGACATTGATGATGAGGAGAATACCGTCGAGGTTGTTGTGCAAGAGGAAGAGGAATGTGGGGTAGAGGATGGGAGGGCGTCGGGGCTACAGGACCGCGACGATGCAGTGCAGTCCGAGTCGGAGTTTGGGGATCTGGGCGAACCGCCGAACCTGCTGAGCCTCACGACGACACGATCGAGCTTTGGGATAGCATCGGACGATGAGGATGGGGGAGGAGAGCACGGGGGACAAAGATGGGTGGGGCATGGGCTGGAGCCGGCGAGAAGTCATTCACAGAGCAGGAGACGGGCAGTCCGAAGACGATCGTCAGTGCCTATCGGTATGGGCATCGGGTTCCGGCGATACAGTGCCAATCTTGGCAGCACGGGGATTGGAGGGGGAGGAGCGAGTTGGGGAGGTGCATAGAATGATGCATGTGGTGGTGCATGGATTGATGGTTGGAGTTTGGCGTTTGATATAGTTCAGTGGGTCTTCCAGATTGTTGCCCTTTGGGGCTAGGCGGGGTTACAGATGATTAGTTAGCTGCGGCTGACAATGAAACACGAGGACACAACTGATGGGGCAGCCCTAGGGGAGGAGGGCAGCATAGCGTAGCATACACACGTACAATAGAGCGTATACAGCGTATCGGGGGGCCTCGTTTGCAGCATGCACAGCAAAGGGCATAGGCAGGACACTGGTATGCATGAGCAACAAAGTCACACAGCTGCAGGCAGAAAAGCTTACGGAACTAGCGGCAGGTCTTGTGGCGGCGAGGATTCCGAGGGATCCTATGGCAGAGCATGGAAGGCCAGGCCTGTCCCGCGTTTCCAGCTGCAAGCGTAGGGGGGTTGGTGGATAGCTTCAGGTTTAGGCGGGGCCCGAAGAGCGGTCCACGACCAGACGGACAGGACAGGCGAGCTCTCAGGCCGGGGGTTGTAGTTGCAGTTGCAGTTGCAGCATATCGTCACAGGGGCGCGTGTGAGCTGGCTGGAGCGCTGCCAGCGTGCAAGTATGAAGAAGGATGCGCCGTTTGTCATCTGGCCGTCGGTCAGTATGTATGCAATGTGCAGCAGCGGTGGCGGTCAGAAGCGACCCAGATTGTGCGCCATGTGGAAAGATACGAGTTTACGCCCACCAACGGGGCACCTGTGTTGCTGTAAATAGCACACGCCGCCGGCATCACACAAGACGTGTTGGCATTAGCGTGCTGGCGGCAGATCGGCCACGGGCAGCCAGCCTGAATGCAGCAACGTGACCTCCGACCGACATGGCTGGCTGCTGCAGCCATACACATGCACACAAACACAACTTGATAGACATCGGCCGACCTCCCCCGTCCGGCCCTGCTGATAATCGCCATGCTCGCAACTTGCTTTTGCCATTGCTAGTCTCCTCGCCTGTGCCTGCGACCACCAACGACCGACGCAGACATCGAGGCCGACCATGGCTCCCAGGCCTACTTGACCCCAGCCCTGCCACCATACCCCTCGACTGCTCCTCACCACCCCCTCCTCCATTGTCGGCCTAGGCACGCTGCAACGGGGCCTACCATGGTGGGTATGCCCGACCACCTCCACAGCTCCGCTCCCTCGACCACCACCACGACCACATCCGCTAGGACCAAGACGACGGGGCTGCCGGGCGCCCAGGGCAGAGCAAAGGGCGTCGCCTTCACTGCCAATGACGCCACCACCCAGCCAGGTCGGGCGACATATCCACAACGTCCCCTCGCTGCCTCTATAAGCTCAGAAGACTCGGGCGACGATGACCTCCTGCACACGTTGCTCTCGGCCTCTTCCATTGTCAACGCCGACGCCCTCTCGTCCTCGGGCCACTCGACGGCCATGACCTCGGCCACCACCTACGATGACCGACCCAGCCCTGAGACGCCACCCGCAGCCCTACCATGTGCTCACCCTACCCTCTCGCTCCTCCAACTCGTCTCCAACACCGCCTCGTCTTCTGCTCTGCCCGACAGCTTTGACGTCAACGTCTCGCGCAAGGGCGGATTCGTGGCCGTCTACTCTGCGTCGAATCTGTTCCTGATCAAGACCCTTGAGCTGCCACGGCTGTGGGCCCGCACGCTGCAAGTCAAACGCAAACCGATTGCCGTTGACATTACCGAAGATGGCTTTCTCCTGGCGGTGCTGTCGCGACCCTCCCAAGTCGACCTCTACGAGATACATGGCGAAGGAACCGACCAGATCAAGAAGAGGCGGACCATCATGTTGGTGCACGAGGCTAGCTCCATTGTCGTCTCCCCAGATGCACGCATACTCATAACGGGGAATAAATTCGGTATCGAGGTCATAGCCATTGGTCCTGAAGTACCTGAAACTTTGCGACGGACGCTCTCGGGACCTGCAGGAGATGCGCTGGAATTCTCAGATGATGGGAGGACTCTGCTCATCACGGGGTATGCGAGAAAGTCGGATGGGTCTGCTTTGTTTGTTCTGCCTGGCTTGTACGACGGGCCCCTCACCGAGGAGGGGGAGCCAATACCACAACCACCCGAAGCCGCATGGACGGGCTCCGTCTTGTTTCCAGAGACGGCAAGAATAGCGCGCCAGGCTACACTTCTTCCAGACGCGGATACTGGCACGTTCAACGAACTATTTGCCTTTAACGCCGAAGAGGATTCTTGGGGCATCTACGACATTGCCTGCCAGCGCTTCACACAGAGGAAAATGTTTCTTCCCGATCACCAACGTTGGACGCGTTCGGAATTCGTCGACGATGCCATGCCTGCGGTATCGCCCAATGCTGACCTCGCAGCTGTCGCTCTACGTATTCAAGGCACAACCAACATATGGATCTATCAAGTCCCCGGCTGGGAGTACCAACCCAAGGAAAAGTCTAAACAGGAAGCCCCGATTCAACCCTGCTTTTGTATCCCGATACCAAACGGCGATGCGGGGACGTTGCAAGAGATTTGCGTGCTGAGATGGGTCAGGCTGAATGCCAATGTCCAACGACTCGTGGCTGTTGGAAATTCGAGCACAGTGCCTGATGAAAACGAGGTCCTTGGCGCGCCGTTGGGATCAAAGGGAGTACTTATCGTTCTCGATTTTGACAAGACGAGACCTCTTGGAAGTGTTCCGCCAACACCATTGAAGACAGAGTATGACCTCGATCCGCTGTGTCCTGGGGAGATGCTACCAGAGGGTTCGATTGACTTTGACCGAGAGGTTGAATTGGTACGGACCAGAACCATTGCCCAGCGTAGGGCTCAGGACCGTAACGAATCGGTATCGCGGAGAAACTCGAGGATTGGATCCACGCCTATACAACGTGCAAATGCTTCTGCTGCGAATCAACATGCGCCGCGACCGGTAATAACAACGGATGAGTCTGAAGAATTGACGCCAGAGGAGGCACAGGCCATGTTCGAAATTCCATACGACAACCAGCAGCCGAGGTCGCAGATGTCGCTAGCTAGAGCTGCTACTGTGGCAGCTGTATCTCCTGCCAACCGACGGCATTTACGGGCCTTGCCGTACAGGCCCCTGGAGTATCGTCGTGCAGATGGACACCGAGAGATACCTCACGAAAGTGACGCGGATAATTGGGTGCCACCACCACCAGCATACACAGCTACGGCGGCGGCGGCAGAAAGCGTTAGCTTGAGCCATCCCGATGCGCCTCCAGTACCACGAGCGTCTAGTGTGCAGCCAATGTCTTCCATGCCTCCCGTCCCTGCATTACCGAATACGTCTGTACGCATTTCACAGGTGCCTATGCATCCATACCAGCAACGACAGCAGTCCATTTCGAGTAACGCATCCTTTGCTCCGGATCAGGAAAGAGGCCGCAGACCGACTCTCATCCATCCGTCTACGTATCCCGCGCCACGCCCTTCGGATCCATTGCAAAGTCGACGAGGTTCATCAGTGCGCCCGTCAGGAAGTCAAATGTCATACTCCGCACATCCAGCGCCTTCGACATCCACATACAGGCCTCCTCCTCACCAAAGTGCAGTAAGAAACCCGGCCTTTGAACACGCCAACCAGGACCTCTATTCGTCTCCTTCGGTACCATCATCCGGCCCAGCAAACACAGGCTCCCGCCGCGTCTCCGCACCACACATACAACGCCGGCCCGTTCCACAAAACGCTTCTGTTCCTGCACCCTACCCCAACTTTTCCCCGTCGGCATCAAGACCAACCGTGGACCCGAGAATGGCCGCTCTGCCACCGCTAATCCCACCGACAAGTAACCACCAGCGGTTCGCGTCGGCCCACCAACTCCCCACCAGCGCGCCCCCACTTGCCAACCATGCCGCGAGTTTCTCGCACCGAGCCGCAAGTGCGCAGCAGATTCGAGGACAGTCGCTTAGTGCACGGGGTGGTGGCTCGAGAATGGACTGTCGTCAAAATGCGGACTCAGAGGGAAAAGATAACGGGAAGAAGGCCAAGAGGAAGACGCATTGTGTCATTATGTGATGGGTTTTAGAGGTTTGCGCGACGGGAGTGGATGTATATATGGAGGGTTGCAAAGTGAAAAGAGGCATGCAAGTAAAGTATCATGAACTGATGGATAGAACGGTTGTTTTTTTGTTTTCGGTTGTTTACGTATATACCCATATCTTTTGAGCTCTTTTTGTTTTTTCGCGTTGCTTTGTTGTTAGATGGGTTGATGGTTATGCATTGTTATGCGTGGAAGGGGGGGGGGGGGGGGTGGAGTGCATTGGCGTGGTAGCGGTAAGAGAAGATGTGTTACGCCGCATGAGTTGTACTCTGCGTAGTTTACGCGACGAAGAAACGGAGATACGGAGAGAAGAGTATACGTTAGATACCCTTTATCCCCACAACTTTGTGGGAAATAGAATACATGGATTTTCTGGAGCGGAAGATCGACAACAACGCTTGTTTTTTTTTTTTGCTGAGCACCGTGTGTATGCGGGGAAAGACGATGAAACGACTTTGAGTAGTTTTTTTCTTCTTCTTCTTGTTCTCCGAATTTCTATTCTGAGCTGATTGCACATCAGGGTGGAAGAAAAAGGCCATAGCTGTAGGAAAGAGCGTCATGGGGCTCGAACGCAAAAGTAAATACGAGGCTTAACCGCACATCTTCGAACAAACGACCGACTTCCACAAAATGCGCTCTCAGAGGACAACTGTTTATCGTACTTCACAAATGCAAAGAGGACGAAAACACACAGATTTATGACAATCAGCCAGAAGCCAATACATATTTCTATCGATATCCACAACAGCGCAGTGATGTTCAAATCAACAAACGCAATAGCGACATCCCCATGTCCCCACCAGAACTTTCAAAAAAAGCCAATAAAACACAAGTGGTATAAGCGATCATTCCATTAACCAAAGAATTTTTCCCTTTTGCTAGTTTCTACAAAACGACTAGCCAACCTCATCTTTGAGCAACCTCGAGGCAACAATTGAAGGAGAAAAAAAGAAAGCGAAAGGAAAAAACGCTTAGAGCATGAAGGCAACGGCGGCGGCGGCAGCAGCGACGAGGCCAAGACCAGCAGAGAGACCAGCAGCGGCGTTGGTGGTCTGCTCGGGGAGAGGAGGAGTGGTGCTGTTACCGCCAGTGGGCTTGGGGACGGTGCCGTTGGGGTAGAGACCACCGGTACCGACGGCCGCAGGGGCGGAAGCCAGAGTGGTGGGGTAAGGAGCAACCGAGGCGGCAGGGGCGACCGAGGAGGGAGCAACGGGAGTGTGGGCAGGGTAGCCGGCGGGAGCAGACTCGGCAGGGTAGCCAGCAGGGGCGGACGAGGCAGGGTAACCAGCGGCGGGAGCAGATGAAGGAGCAACTGAAGGAGCAGCAGACGAAGAGACAGTACCGCACTTGCCGGCGGAGATACCGAACTGGGTGCTGTACTGGTACTGGCCGGTCACATCGTCGATGATCTGGAGTCCGTAGCCTTGGTTGGCCTCGGTGACGGGGAGGTCAGCAGCGGGGGTCCAGCTCAGACTGCCGCTGTTCTTGATGCCCTCAGCGAGAGAAGGTCCGAACTTGACAACGTTGGTGGAAGGGCCCTTGAGGAGAAGGACGGAGACAGTGTTGAAGGTGGTGGGCTCCCAGGTGATGGTGAAGGGCTCGCACTTGGGCACAATCTAAGGGGTGATGAGTCAGATTTTTTGTTTGTCTCGGAGGTGTCGAATTGGGAGGGGGGAAGAAAACATACCTCGTTCAAAGGACGGGTGATGGGGTTACCCTTTGGGTCACCGACGGCAGGGTGGATCTGGGCGGCGGCGAAGCCAGCGAAGATGGAGATAATGGTAGCCTTGGAGTACATTGTGATTGTTGATGGGGGGGTGTTTATTAGATTATCGCTGGGATATCGATGGGAATATTATGTAGCTTTACAAAAGCAAGGGGTAAAGAGTGACGACTGTGGGAGAGTTTCTTAAAGAAAGGCTGAAGCAACGAATGTCTTCTGAAGGCTGCAGTAATATACTGTAGGATGGGAGGGAAAGAGAAGAAACGCAACTGAGGCGGCACGGCATGCGCATTCTTATTGAGAGCGGCCCCCAAACGGTCCTATGCAGGGATAGAGGCATTGACTAGTGCTGACAGGAGATTGGACAGAACTTTGTGCACATCGGCACTACTCTGCCTTGGTACCTGAATTTGACCCGCTAGGCCGCAAGAGCATCTCATCTGAGGGCCTGGAGCCAATGGCGGCGCCCTGGGAAATTGCAGCCAGGTCAGGTTGGAGACAGCCAGGAGGGTTGGTGGCGGCACCGGTGAGCTGCCTGGCCCTGCTGGCACGGCCTATTTCTGGAGATTGAGGCCTGGAAGTGGTGCATCGGAAGGGCGCCTGAAGAGAAAACAAAGGAGCTCCGCGCCGCCATGCCCGTTGACAATGGTCTGCCAACCCGCGGGAGATGAGCGCACGCGCGCGAAGCATCTCACGACGACGACGACAACGACCAGGATGCCTTGGAATCAACTACGCTATCGACATCGTATCTGCCGTGGGCCTCCAATTCGACATGTGTCTGTGTGTTGTATACATACACTCTGTGAACATTCATACATACTAGGTGCGATATATGCGCGCGCAACCCCCTTTGTGCGCGACCACTCACCGCCCGCAATTTGACAGCTTCACTAGGCTCAGGAACAGTCATGCACACTACCGCCAGCACTGCCCCTGGCCCCTCTCTTAGGCCGCCCTCCAAAAAAGGAGAGCATTGCGCTTGGCGCCCTTCCCTCGTCTTGCATCATCCTCATCTCTGACAAGCGAGCTGCACTCGTCATAACCACCCATTGCAATCCTCCACCCACGACCAGGCCTTGCGCTTGTCTGGCCACAATAAGCCCGCAAATTACCGCCGTCCACCGCCCGCTCCGACTACTCCTCCAATCGTCGTCGCCCTCCAAAACCAACCATGCTGCGACTCCACACTGCGACACGGACATTTGCTCACGTTTCAGTATGCTTGTTGGGATTCAATTCTTCTTTAGAATTCGACTAACTAGGCTGCTGAATTCATGTCATAACTATGTACAATGCGTCGACTACTCTTCGCTTGGCCCATCTTCACAATCAAGGGGGGGGGGGCCAATATCCTAGAAACAACTTGCTCGTAAGCACCTCCTGAAACCGTGACATTCCTGTGTGCCAGGTAAACTCTGTACTTTAAAGCTTGCGCTTGCAAGGTGGGGCCCCGGGTGGAAAACGAGCGAACGCGTCGGGGTATCTTCGAGGCGGAATGGGATTCGTAACATCGTCATCTCGTCATCTCTCGTCAGTGCGCAGCTTGCACACATATCCTCTCTTGCCCGAGGAGCGGGCTTCGTGTGCAGATCATCGTGCAACAAACAGCAGAGAATAGCAAACTAGCTGCGCGCTACCGAAAGGTCAAACTGCTTAGTTGCACTGGCCAGGAACTGGTGGCTGTCAGCTTCAGGCTCATACAATGTCAAAACAAAGGTAAACAAGGGGTCGTGTTACTCACACTTTCGCGAGGTCAGTGGCTGTGGGAAGACGCCGTTGGCTAGCAAAGCCTTCATGTCCCACTCAGGTGAGCTCTCCGTCTTCCACGTCCAGAAAATCCATCCGCTGGCCATCTCGAATCCATCAAGCTGTGCCTCAATGTAACGTCGCATGCCCGTCTTGTAGTCTTCCGAAAGATTGGCAACGGTACCGGTATACTTGCCGTCGCAGCTGCCGACCTTGGAGCTTCCGTCAAGAGTGCCGTCGTAACGCGCTCCCTTGTCCTTGCCGTTCAACCACTTGGTGCAGTCGGTCATGGCACCGGTCCACTCTCCGGAGATAGTCCACTTGCCAGTCGATGCCATCTGCTTGCCAAAGCCGCAAGCAGTCTTGACATGGTCGTCGACGCTCATGGCAACGGCCGAGTTGTCGAAGATTTCGTAGTGGTGAGTGTCGAGAAGCAGGTTCCACATGCCGCTACCCCACTGGTTCCATGAAGTCACGCCTTGGAAGGCATCATGGAACGTCACAGCAACACCAGAATCTCGGAGGTTGCCCCAACCGTCCATGTAGAATTGTCGGACAGTGTTCATATCCAGGGCCGGACCCAGAGGCTCGTTCAGGAGCTGGATAGCGGCGACAGCAGGGTGTGATGCATGGTCGTCGCGGAGCTTGTTCAGCACTTTCTTAGTGTAGTCGACTGAGTCGCCTTGAGTCCAGCCAACCGAGCCGCGCTTGCCCGAGTTGTCGAAGCCGTTCTGTGACTCGGGTGCGCCATGGAGATCAATCATGACCTTGAGACCTGCAGCTCCGGCCCAGTCAAGGGCTTCACCAAACTTGTCGTAGGCTCCAGCAATATATGGCATGTCGTCACGTGGAAGTACGCTCCACCAGCCAATTGGAATTCGGACCATGTTGAGACCGGCGGCAGCCATCTGGTTGAAGTCGTCCTGAGTATACCATGTGTTCCAGTGGTTTTGCAGCATGGATTTGGCCGCGTCCTTGCCCATTGCTCCAGCAAGTGTGTACTCGTCAACTGCACCATTGCCTTCGAAGATGCTGGGAGTGATCCAAGGCTCAAGCACAAACCAGCCACCAGTGTTGACTCCGCGGACTTTTTGCCCACCAAAGTCAAATGATGGTGTTTTGTAACCTTGTGATTGTCGTTTCACAGATTCCAGTGGAGATGCGTTTGTGCTCACAGCAAGCAGACCAATGGCCGCTACAGTAGTCCAACGTCCGACCATGATGAGATAGATTGCGTTACTCAACCGATTTGAAGGCTCAAAGAGATGGCACTTGTAACAGATGAGGATAGAAGAAGGTTGTTTGCTTGGTTTGCCTGAGTTTCGAGTTGAACAAAGCCTCCAGATCGGGGAATCAAGTTGCCTTTAAACCACAACATCAAGACTTGGGCATAGGCCAACACAGCACTCAATTTGCCCCAATTTTCTCTCCAGTCACGCTCACGTAGCAGGCATGTGTTTGGTTCTGCTCCGAGACGTAGTGGTGATCCTCACTTCGTGGAGAACTATCCTAGCTAGCGGGAATAGCCATCCTAGACGCCTTCAGAGCGGTGTCGACCGAGGCGTCTGGGAAGCGACTAACCGTAGTCTAACCAGCAAATCGAAACTTGGCCATGCCGGAACAATGTGTACATCGCTACTCGTTCGGAGGTAGAAGCTCGGTTGGCAACTGACGTGGTGACGCAAGGGCTTGGAAGAAGAAGCGTGAGAAAGCCACGCCCGACTGTCGGACTAGCCAATGCAGGAAGCTGTCGTGGATTCATGCTGCGCAAAAATCGGGTCCCGTAAGCCTCGGCCATGATTAACAAGAAGCGTAAGATCTGGGGTCATGTGCAATCAGGAGAGAAGGCGACGGAGCCACACTTGGCAGAGGTTGTAGGTGGACCTCAGGTACATGGTGCTGATTGGCTGCGGGTGTAATGGCGATGATGTGGGGATCGGCGAGTTGCAGCCACTTAGATGCCGACGTGGTGCTCACGGGTTACAGTCAAGCTGCCGAGAAGCTTCCAAGAAGGCGCAAGAGCGTTGGTGCAATGCTGAAGCCGAGTGGCGGACTGCTTGGCCTAGTGTACGAGTGGTAGTCGTGGTAGTAGTACATAGTAGTAAACCGACACTACAGCAGTTGCATGTCCTGTACATAGTCGCGTGAGATTCTGGTACCGTACTTTGAACTCGGAATTTGTACCGACGACATGTCACCGACCCTATTCACCGTTAGGACTGGCTGCAATGCCATGCACCGCTCCCTGCATGCCACAGTCAGCGTTCCGGGGAAAAGAACAAAGCATGGTCTTCTCCTTGCTTGCACTTGGGCGCCTCCTTGCCCTCATGATCTGCAAAGCACGGGAGCCTAAACAGTAAATACCCTTTCTACCGAGCCAAAGATCTGCGAGGCCTCCAGTCCTTACAGTGAGGGGGCATTAAGTAAGCATGGTAGCATTGTCTGATTCAAGACGCCTCGTGAGGACTGATCGTTCCCGCATTGGGGTGTGAACTGCGTTTGTGGTGTTTGCCTCTGAGCCGCCTAGGATCTCGGATAAAGAACCGCATAGCAGTAGTTGGTTGCGCCAGAACAGCCACAATGAGCAGTGTTTTCGCGACGTCACCATGGCCTTGCCATTTGCCTTGTTCATCCTGAATTGCCGACCCCCTTCTTCCTGCATGTCACGAGAGCCGATTTCCAAACACCGGACGTACATGTACATGCAGCTTGCCTACCGTCATCTCTGCCATGTTCTGGTTCGGCGGGAATGAACGTACGACGGCGCGAGATCTCCAAAGCTTGGTACAAGATATGCGGGGAGATGCACGACAACTGTTCTAGCGCTGCCGTCCGTCGGGGTTAGATCAAGCAGCGCGTCATCCCCGTGAGCCTGTGACCGCAAAAGTCTTTTCACGCCTGCTTAGCGGTCGCGCACCCTTTCACGCAATGTCATGCTAGGCCGAGGTTTCTCGTGCTTGGCATACCCGACCGTGATGTGCCTACCGCTATCCCTACCACTATACCTCTCCCTTGGTCATTGCTAGGAGAACAATCCTGGCGTCATTGATCACGTTGTCTTGTAGACCGAGGATGGAGATGCAGAAGTCAAAGGCGTTGCTGCACTGGGGCAAGGCAGAGTCCTGATACCCGGTTGGATTTGTGGGTTTGTGGGGTAGTGCCAGAACGTGGTGTGTTGGAATCTGGTTGACGGTGTCCGACAAGTCGGTGAGCAGCTTGGTGAAGCAGTAGTGACGGTATCTTGACAAAGACCCGGTAGCATGACTCTGGTGGTGAGCTGTTTTCACATCGGCTGTGCCGTTCCGACGTACACGTCACGTGCATCGGTGCCAGAGCAGACTCGCCACGCTCGTAAGATCGGAAAGCGTTCAACTGACTCGTTTCTTTGCTGCATAGTTTTCATCCATTCTTTACAAGTTGCCGGTATGAAGGTGGTTTTGGTAGAGCATGTAGGATGCCGTGTTGTAGGCATACACGGCAATGCCGACTTGTCCGAGTGGGAGAGGCTTACCCAGAGCAGGACCGATCGGAACGAGCGGCGGATATATTTCCGATCCAAGTTACCGAACAGAACGCAGAAGTGGTTACTAAAGTACCCACGTCCGCCGCAGCGACGATGCGCCTGCCACTGAAAAATACATGCCTAGAATAGGGTCAAATCCGCAGACGGCGCGGTCTCTACGTGTATGAACTCAGATGTGATGCAGCTCTCGCCAGCCCGTGATGCAGCTTGAGCTACAATGTGTGTGTGTGTGAGGGAATAAGGGCGGACGAAAGGGCGGGTGTAAGGCCAGGGCAGGTTGAGCGGTGCGCTGAGGTAAGGACGCTGTGCGTTTCTCAGCAAACTTAGGAGGGTGGCGATACCATACCGCCATTGTTACAATACACCGTCGCGGTAACGTACAGTACAGTACAAACATCCCTTCGCGACAGCCAATTTGAGGTGAGCTCCACTTGTCCCGCATACAGACATACTTTCGCTTGTGTCAACCTGTCTCATTGCCTTGTTCGTCCGCATGCGACTCGTCATTTACTGCCCGCCTGTCCGTCGCAAAAGAAACAAACTCGCCGCCATCAGCTAACCTCCACAATGGCAGGCCGTCATGGGCAGACATGCCAACCCCGACATCAGGCGTGCCTTTGCTGAATTCCAGGACCAGGAAACGCCCTCCAAATGCAACAAGGTTCGCTGTCGTCATTGCGGCTACGTTCGCGCAAAAAACACGACGCGCCAAATCGAACATTTGCAGGAATGCCAGGCATACCTTGCCTCGTCGGACGCGCAAACCCACCTCCTCGCGCAGCGGCAACAGCAGGATGGAACTCCAGCTGAGCCAAACATGGCCGCTGGCTCCAGTCAAATCTTCAGCGGACAACAGCCCAATCCAAACCTACAGGTCCAACGGCGGGGTCCCAATACCAGCAAGCGCGCCCGCGATACCCAGCCCATTATTGCGCCGAAAACTGTCCCGGTGCCAACGGTCATGCCATCTCTGACCGCGCATCTACTCAATGTCTGCGCTGGCCCTCTCCGACAAGCAACCCAACGACCCTTCTTGTCGCATGCTGGCTGCGGATCTTTAACGGCGGAGCCTCTGTCATGGTGGCTGGTGCAAGACGGGCACTATGCGCGTGGATTCATACGCTTCGCAGGACAGTTGCTGGCCAAAATTAGGTTGCCGCAGACACCGAACTCGCAGTTCCACCCCATGTATCGTACCATGGACCTCTTGATCTCAGCTTTGAATAACATGCGGCGGGAGATTCAATTTTCTGAGATTACTGCAACAAAGTACGGACTGTCTTTGGGCACCGATTTGCCTACTCCCGTTACTCGCGGATTACTGGATCTCTTGGTCAGTGCCAGTAGCTCAAGCGCATCCCTCTTAGAGGGAATGGTTGTACTTTGGGGAACTGAGCATGTATGTAACGATATGCAGTAATTAAGGCGTACAGAACTAACACTCCCGCAGGCCTATCGTGCCGCTTGGCAATACGCAGCAACCTTTTCCAGCTCCCTACCCACATCCATCAGTGATTCGCACATTGCCGCACTCCACCAAGTCCTCATACCGAATTGGACCTCGCCCCCCGCATACAAGTTCCTCGACGCAACACGTGCACTCGTCGACGAGCTAGCCAACATCACAACCACACGAGACGGTAAAGAAGAAATGGTCCGCTGCGAAGAACTCTTCCGGCAGATATGCTGGCTAGCAGAGCGCTACTGGCCCGCCATTGACGAGAACGGCGGCTGGATTGACCCTCCCATGGGCTACACCATCCCCGGCACGCGTCCCGTAACCATGAACAGGAACGTCGTACACCCGAACATGACCGCACCCAGCATGCACGCCCCTGGCATGAACATGCATGGGAACCCAGTTAACGGAAATATGGCAGGTCCGGCGCCAACCCCCAACATGCACGGTCACGTGAATACCAACATGAGCAATAACGCGAATCCCAACCCGAATATCAATACCAGCACCAGTATGAATACCAATGCGAACAACAGCAACAACAATAGGAATAATCCCGCCCCTATTGCTCCAATCAATGCTGGCGTCCGCAAGGAAAGCACGTCTGTTAATGACAACAGGAGCCAGCAGAGCATGGACCGTGGAAACAGCATGGATAGCGACAGTGGAGAATCGTCGGCTTGATGAACAAGACTTCTCTAGGAAAACGACTCTAGGATTTATCCTCTCAGACAACAGTACTGGCTATCATCTTTCTATAAAAGGAAAGGAGGCATGATTCGTTGTGATACGACGCCGGATGTGCAAATGTGTGATGGTAACTGGGGTTGTTTTTTGCATGAATCTGCGAGAGGGAGAGAGGGTGGAGATTTGATTGCGTATTTGCTCTGCCGTATGATTTTGTGGATTTAGCTTGTGATATCCCGTTTATATAGCAAAATTCGTGCCTGTGTACACAATTTTTTCTTACATCATCACTTTTCCTCTGCGTGTAAGTGAATGAAGAGAGTGTCCCGTTGGTAATATTACCGTTTTCGAATCTCTCTCCCTCTCTACTACCAAGAAGTAACATCCGAAATCTGAAGACATTTCAGTACTTCAAACCAATTCCTTTTGACACCACGTTTTGCAGGAAGAGGTTTTTCTTTCTAAGTTTTAGTGCTAAACAAGCTTTCTTATTTTATCTTATCTTTTTCAGACTCCTACACCAATTTTCAGTGTATCTAGTAACTTCAGAGATAACTACGTAGCAAGCCAATACGACCCCCATATCTTCGTTTTTGGGGTAACATGACTTGATTTGCTTATACCTGTTTAGTATAACTATAGCGTAACAAATTTCTTTCTTTCTTCTCAGAAAAGAATAGCAGGCCACACTCCAGCCTGCTGGAATTGCGTGTCAAAAAAAGGTATGTATGTTTATACCATACTTGTGACGTATGTGCAAACGACAAGAAGACATTTTGAGTAACATTTCCGTTGTAGGATTGCGAAATTAGGTCTATGATGGGGCTACTCGGCATGGAAAGCGAAAGAAAAAGAGTTAGCAATGTCTATGTCTTTCTAATACAAAATTCACGATCAAGTTGAATGCCAAGCGGATGATCTTTGCATTTCCATAAAAAGTTAATCTTGGATATTCATTCATATTACTTCAGTAGCAGTATAACTACATGAAACTATATTACGGTTTGACTTCCACACAGAGAATCGAAAACCTCAAATATGTGGTCAAAACTTGCACTACTCTCAGGTGTAGAGAAAACAAGCTCAAGCTGTTGGAACAGCGTCAGTGTTGTAGCTCTTCTCAATGATTGGCGGAGGCTCAGGAATCTTCTGGCGAAGAAGAGTGCGCTTGATGAAATAAGGCACCTGCTCCGAGATCTGGTAGTGAAGATATGTTTTGGTAGGTACGCTGAAGACCTGGTCCAATTCTTCGAGGGTAAGCTGCTTGGTCTCGCGGACGAAGCAGAAAATCATGCCCCAGGCAATCAGGTTGAGACCAGCGTAGAAACCAAAGGCACCCGTTTGTGTCATCACTGACACCATACGGGGGAAGGTGAGGGACAGGACACCAGCAAAGGTGTTGTTGATGCACACAGCCCAGGCCATTCCCTGCTCACGCTGGATCGTAGGGAAAACTTCGGCAGAGTACTGGAATGCGACAGGTCCCTCTCCGAGAGAGTACATGATGGTGAAGAGGTAGACAAACAGAACGACGGGTCCGACTTGTGCGGCTTTGCTGGCGGTATCGGGCTGGAGCAGAGATAGACCGGCTGCTAGCAAGAAGATGCACATAAAAGGGAAAGTCTGTGAAATCAGTTAGTGATGAAAGAATATGGGAATCATTCCGCAACTTACCCACATGCAAAGGGTCCTGCGGCCCTTTGTATCGATAAGGAACAGAGTCGGAATGGTAAAGACGACCTGAATAGCACCATAACCGAGAGATGCATACAACGCTTGGTCCGTGCTGTAACCCGCTTGACTGAAGATTGTCGAAGAATAGAAGCTGATTATGTTAATGCCGCACATCTGTTGCGCTATCATGACAGTGGAGGCACCATAGTTGGCACGCCTGATTCTGGGGACACGGAAGCAGTCCCACATGCGGTCAAAGTAGCCAGCTCCACGTGCAACGGCCAGTTCGGTCTCGTAGATGACGTATGAGTAGTAGTAATCACGTGCGGCGATGATGGGATGTGCTCGCAGTTTGTTCATCGACTCGAATCCTTTGGCGACCTTGCCGTGCTTCATTAGCCAACGAGGAGACCTGAAGATATGTAAGCATTTTCCGTGTACAAAAGCCGAGAAATAGTGGATACGTACTCCGGGCAAAAGAAGATGCCAACCATGAGAATGAAAGAAGGAATGAAAGCCGAGCCAAGTTGCAGGCGCCATGAGATTCTACCAGTGTCTTTGACAATGACATTGGCACAGAAACCAAGGAAGATACCTATGTACAATGATTAGAGACGATTGAATTTGGGAACAACAAGTAACTCTTCTTACCAATGACGACCCAAAGTTGCCAAAACATGACCAGGGCGCCTCGAATTCGATGTGGAGCCATCTCAGCAGAGTAGATGGGAACAGTAGCATTTTTTGCGCCGATACCGATACCCATGATGAAGCGAGCAGCGAAAAGTCCTTCCCATGATTGTGCGCAAGCAGAGCCAATGGGAGTAGCAGTGAGACAGACGGCAGTCACAAAGATCTCACCCCTGCGGCCCAGGTACTTGTTGAGCGGGTCGACGATGAAAGCGCCAATGAGACCAGCAGTGAGGAAGATGATGGCATTGATGAGACCGACAATCCACTCGCCATAAGCACCTCGCTCAAGCAGACCAAACTCCTCTGGGAAAGACAAGTTGGCGCCGTTTGATCCAGTTTGATCCCAGCCTTGAGTGGCGGCTCCGATAGCACACAAACCGATCGAGTACCACAGCATCTTGGGACCGTGCCACTTGTGGTCGCGCTCGTAGATGAGAGCATTTCGCTCGGTGTCGTCGAGTTGGGTGATCATTTCAAAGCGCTCAGGGTCGCGGGCAACAAGGGCTGCTTTGCCAAACAGGGTGGCGTGTTCGTCCAGGCCATGTTTCTTGGCCCATTCCTCAGCAGCGTAGACACACTCCTCCCTACTCTGACGCGTCAATGGGTTCTCGACGAGATTGTGAGCAACAGACGAGCGACGAGCGGCGGTATCAGCAATGTGCTCGGCGCCAGAAGTGTAAATGGCCTCCTTCTCAGGATCGGTGGCTAGCTCCTTCTCCGGGATGGAGGAGGCTTCCTTCTCAACGTGAGCGGCAGGCTCGTTGTTCTTTCCGTCCATGGTGGTAGAGTTGTGAAGGATGACGGGTTAGAATGAACCAGCTACACGAACATGTGCAGGGAGAGAAGTTGAAAAGAAAAAAGGTGGGGTGAGTCGAGGGAACCGATCTTATATCTGGAGGAGGCAAGAAAGAGTGCGAGGGAGGCCCCAAAGTGGAGCCTCCAACGGTACACCGCACATGTAACAGGCTCAAAAAAAAGTGAAAGCTGAGATGCGCTAAGGGCATTCACTGGAACTTGCATATGGTGAAGGGCAAACACCCCGGAGGCCTGATGGGAGCCTGACCAACGGGATGGCATGACGAGGCGGATGAGGGGTGGTAGTGACGCTAGGTCTATTGTTCATGGGGATCTCCACAGAAAGACCCCATGGAGTAAGCTTCGGCATGCTAATGGCCGCCACACGCTTGTCTACAACGGCTTGGCGCCCACCACATGCACATGCATCATCGCCTCTCCCGACGTCCATGACCTCACCCCTCTACCACCCGCTAGCCTCCCTCCACACCTGGGGTACGCCACAATGCGACCTCATCTTGACTTGCGGTAAGCTTACACATGCCCGTACAGGACATGGGCATCTCGACTGATGCTCTACGTGCACCACACGCGATGCCAGTGTCCGGTACTGCACTCGCTCCACGCCCAAGAATTAAGGCACCCTCGCGGCGAGCTTGGTGCCATATTGGCTGAGGCTTGTCGGGAGCGGGAGAGGGCTTGTTGGAACGACATGCTTAGCGGCACGATCATCACATTGCTTGCCTCACCCGTCACCCGCTAATTTCTCGGCACATGCTTTAGCGACCGCTGGGGAGTGAGCAGGCCAGGGTACTGCTACCACTCCGATCACACACCTCCATCTATTATGTACTTGACTGTACTTGGCCATACCAACGAGCACTTTAGCCGCCATTTGCGTCTCTGAAACATCAGCTCACGATCGTACTGTATCGCGCGATACCCGCCGTCCGCCAGCTGCCACCTCTCTGTCGGTGACAATGCGCTTATGGAGGGGAGAGCTTGCAAAAGATGCACATGGCCATACGAGCGCAAAAGAGGCGTCGCTTACCGCCACGACCAGACGAGCTAGCTAGAGAAATGGCGTACGCGCGGCGACGGCCTTGGGCACCTTGATTCCTCTTGTCCCAACAATCAAGACGACGGCAAAAGCTTGAGACCGTCTGCTTTTCCGGACCAATAGCCATGAGAGATGTTGCTTTGCACGGACGCACACGCACGTTTGCTGTGGGGACGCCTCCAAACTTTTCTCCAGCTCGTCTCCCAGCATCGACGACTGGGCCCGAGTCGTGCGATGTGGAGAAAGACTTTTGCTCACGTGCTTGGCAATGCAACCCAGTGGTGTTTCGCAATATGCAAACGTACGATGAAAAAACAGGTTACAATACGGCCGTTTAATCATCCAACGGCCGCGGTACTTATGCATGTCAGGACGGCCGCACATGCTGATCCAAGTAATGCAGCCCCGTCTCGCATGGAACCACCGCACAACCTTTTGCATCTCACGTGCGAACATTCTATTACGTAGAACTATACTACCTTGTCGCATCAGAAAATGCTATTCACTGGGCATTCTGGAATCGCCTGCCAGACTCTGCCTAACCGCGCGGCTAGTACGGATTTTCGAGTTTACGAGATGCCTTGCTCAAGTGGATCTCGAGGTTGCGTACTGGCCAGTGCTAGCTACCCCGATACTACCCCACAGCTCCGGGGTCCCAACGGCGGCCTCCGGATTACCCAACTGGGACGTTATCTCACAGTTATCTCGATTCCTACCAGATAGCCGCAAACAAGCTTGAGTCCTAAGATCTTTGCCCCTCGATAGCTTCTCTTGGTAGTTCCTCTTGATAGTCTCGCTCGAGAGTTCTCCTCATACTAGCGCGTCGAGACCCTTCAGTCGACTTTATCGACCTTCCTCGGAGGAAACCTGTACGGATCGCACGGCACTTGACGTAGAACCCACATGGGCAATCGGCTCGTGATATCGGTAGTCGGTACAAGGGAATTCCTACAATCACATTCTAGACCCTTTACCACTACAAAGAGCCGCATCTGCAGGTGCAGTAGTCAGTAACTGCAGCGCGATCTAGAGTCTTTACAGCTCAGTGTCGTCTAGCAATAGCGCTAGGAAAAGCCTACTACTAAGTATACACACACATACACATGCACGACCCACTATGTGTCACTATACTACTACTTCGATCCGAAGAGACCGAAATGAAAAAAAAGATACTTTCTATTCTTATCCAAGCTCGTTAACATGATCACCCTGGGCTAGCTTCTTCTTGACACATCACTACATGGTACACGGAAGTTTACTCGGTGGCCAAGTAAAACGATGTGCGTCCAACACGGAGATCATGATTTCCGTCTATCTGCCTCGAATCTCTTTTGTTATTATAACCGATATTCCTGGATAGCCTACCTTTTGTGAATAACTTCATCGTGTGAAAAGAACCCATTACAAAAGATCTCACCGTGGAACCGCTCAGATATTGCCAAAGAAAAAAACACTTTCGTATCCATCTTTGCAATAGAAAAGATGATCACAAGGCTATAATCGCACCCACCATGAGTCTCACGTCGGAGTGCCCGACAACAACCCCAGTACGACCCCAGTACGACCCCAGTACGACCCCCAAACACCCTTACACAAGTACATCCAGGTACCTTCTCCGATGAACTCGGTTCCGCTAGCCAGGACGCGCAAGCGCGCGGGGTTACACAGCGATCCCTAACGGGGCAGCCCTGCATCTACCCCCCAGCTCACATCCTCCCATCACAATCCACCCCTTCCCTTGACTCCACTTCACCACTCGACATGGCCATCAGTTCCTCCCATACCTGCTCCAGTCGCGGCATTATCATCTTGACCACCATAACGCTATTCATCCTCTTGCGCATGCCCTCGAGGTGAAACTGGAACAGCGGTTTAGCGCCTTGTTCGAATTCGTGGGCTGTGATTTTGTTGAGCCAGAGGGCTTCCATGAGGTAGACGTATTCGTTCCAATCGTCGGGACCTGGTGAGGAAAAAAGAATATGTGTTAGCTTGGATACATGCATAAGTAAGGTGACAAGATGGGTTCTTACCGAGAGCTCGACGTATGCCTTCTAGTTCTAGAGGCACGTCGTAGTCATACATTGGGCGTCGCCTAACAGTGCGGTTTGGAAGGAGTGATGAAGGTACGTAGGTCGATCGGGCTATTTTTGTCCCTTGGAGGAAGTTTTTTGTTATATTCCTTCCTTCAAGAGGTACACTGCCTGATGCAGTAGTTCTGGTGGCGTCGTTCTCATGCTCATTGCCCTTTCTCTTCTTTCTCGACCCCCCCTCTTCTTTCTGGTCGTCCCTGCTCTCTTGAATATCGTCTTTCTTCGTCCCTTTCCCACTCCTCCCCACCTTATTTAGCACTACCGGGCTCTGTCTTGTAGTTCTCTGGCATCTTTTAGTTGGGACTCGGCGACGCTTTTGTGTTGGTGTTGCAGTATCGGTAGAACTTTCTGGTTGGCTACTTAGTTGCGTTTGTCTGGGCTTCGAAATCTTCCGATTTGTGTGTTGGGACGGCGATTTTGACGAGCCCGAATTGCCTCGAAGTGGTGCTTTTCTCGGAACATTGCTTGAAGGGAGACGACTGGACTTTACGCCCGAGGCTTTTGGCGAAACCGGTGTGGCCTGTATCGTCTTCCCAGCTGGTGGATGGTTTGTCGCATGCTGCGGCAGAGCAGGTTGGCCACCACCTGATATCTTGCTTGCATAGGAGATTTCGTTGCCCTCCGTCATACAAGAGCTGAGTTCAGGTGCATTGTTGGCCATGGCAGGTGAGGGTAAGGACTCTATGCGGTGAGGCGGTGGGCTGCCATACGGAGCTGGAAACGAGTGCGCGCTACCAGAAGGATAAGGGTGAGCAAGAGCCGTTCCAGAAACCGGGCCATGTTCTTGAAGTGTCGGTTCTGGAAAGCGAGTCTGCGTGTCGCCTATATTTGCCTCAGATGTGCCTGCAGCATGCGGTACCATGTTTGGCATGAAGCTAGGGAAGGTACAATTCTGTGGAATCATCACTGTAACGGATGAGATGTCTTGCCTCTGAGAAACTGATACTCCTTGCGACGACGTCATTTGTGATGGGTAAGGACGACGGAGGGGCAAGACCGCAGTGACGACGAAGCAATATCGTTCGGTATCAGTGACGCGACACTGGTTGCATGTGATTGTAGTCAATGGCGGAAATGCTCCAATCACTCGAGAGGTCTAGGATTTGCGTATAAAAGGGTGCGACAAGATTCCGTGGGGGGCTGATAGTTTGGGTGGGCAAAACTGAGGAAGGCGCCTTTCACATTCACCTCACCATTACCTGCCGTCTCATTGGTTATCCAGATCTCATATAACCACAGCCATCAAAGCCCCAGATTCACCCGAAAATCTTGCAGGAAAGCCAACAAAAAGGCGTTGTACCCCATATCTGTAAAGCGGACCCTGACCCTTCCGTAGAAGGACTGCACAGCCAATTAATATTGGGAACTGAGTTCATCCCCTTGCATGACACCACGCACTTGATCAAGTCTCACGACGCTGATGATAAATATCACACAGATCTATCGCATCTAGAAGGTAGATCTTGTAGATCTAGATGTTTTCCGGTACCAACTAGGGATGCCCTTGCAAAGAACTTCCGCTTTTCGACGCCATCGCTTACGAGAACAAAGAGCGAAGCAACATGACTTGCATCCCCATGACTTCTATAGTTCTCGCGCACACCAATATAAATACTTTACGCTATTGGACGCTCCGTATAAAGGTTAGCTCACAGGCGAATTGTCATGCAAATGGGCAATGATGTTAAGTATGTATAAGAAACGCTTTGTTGTATATACGTATATGGCAGTAGCCCCAGTTTACCCAGCGCCGCCAAGTTCATATATGCAACCGCAATAAAGAGGGACCAGTAAGTGATCATACCTCAATGCTATCAATTCAGAAACTTCAATCAGAACCAAAAGCAAAACATGCCTATTGCATGTCCGGCAAATCCGGAGAGTGATGTCCTCCATCATCAAAGCTCTGAGCCCGATATCTCGCAACATTTCGCAAATGCTCGTTACTCCCCGACAGCGCAAGGCGAGTAGGCGGTTGTCCGCGTGCCTGGCCACCCCCCATAGGACTATCCTGAGCCTCCGGACTTGCAGCCGTCGAATACCTACGGTGCCCACCTGCATCATGCTGCGCAGGTGGTTGTACCATCTTTTGATTCGCAATCACCAGCGCAGCAGCACTCGCCTCGCGCGCCTGCCTCGCAGCATACGCCTGCTGATACCGCGCCAGCGAAATAGCCGTCAACTGCTCGCGAACCTCTGGCGTCGGATGCGTGAACCCGGTCCCCAGATAGGGTTTGACTTCTGTCCAGCCCCTCTTTTCCTCCGGCGACACCTCGAGCCATTTGGTGTTGAAGGGGTGGAACGAGCGCAAGCATGTGATGGGTAGCGCAACGTACTTTTCGATATTCACTCTTGCCATGACTTCCGCTGCGATGGCTTTGGAGTGGCTGAGTAGACACGCGACGAAGTGGATGCGTTGGGGGAAGGTGAAGTCTATGTCTTCGCTGTTGAGCGATGTGAGGTCGATGGAGCGTCGCTGAGCAAAGTCGGTCACGCCCGAGACGTGTATGCGCATTGTCGTGTACACGACGGTGTGTGCTATAGCCTCGATGTCGCGGGGATCCGTCCATTCGCCTTTTGGAATGAATTTGCCGAACTGCCAGGGTGCGCTTTGTACGTCCCAGACTTGAGAGATATTGCGGAGAGCGATGCAGATCCTTTCGAGGTGGAATTTGTATTGTTCGCCAGTTTGCGGGAAGCCGTAGCGATCCATGGAGGGGAACCAGCATACTTCGTTCAGGTATGCGTTCACTTGCCCGAAGTTTTGGAATTGGTAGCCCCAGAATGGGACGGACGGCTGGGAGGGCGGTGACGCAGACTGAGGCCATGGTTTGCTCAAGGGTGGCCCGGTTGTGGGATCTGGATATCCTGGGTTCATAGATGGCGAGTACTGGGCAAAACCCGATGGTGTGTTGGGATTGAGCCCAGGTGTATGTATGAATGTATTTTGGTTCGACAGAGGATATGGGAGCCCGTAGTGTATATCCGGTGAAAAGGAGTTCTGTATAGGAATGGAGAACATTCCATTGCTTCCCTAGCCTTCTGTCAGTCTTGTTTGCTTGAAAACATGTGATCTAGCTCATGAAGGTACCCGGGATAGATCTTGCTCCTGCGAATGTGCATTATGTACGCTGGGCATCATGGACGCTCTAGGATCTGGGTAATACGCGGGCTGACTTCCGTTGTCACTAGGACCGAACTGCGTAGTGTCAGATAAATTTCAACTGAATATTGCATATATCTGTAGCTTACCATGGGTGTACCTGCGCTACCGCCTTGCCCAAAGTACGCACTAGTCTGATATTGCTTGGCTTGGAATTGGCCATGCAAAGCATTCGCCTCAGGGTTAGTTTCGCGATTAGTTTTGTCATCAACTTCGCGGTTTGGCTGATCAGGCATAGATCTACCGTGTGCAGCTTGGTTGCTCATGTTAGAGAGTGCACAGACGACTAAGTGATTGGCCTAATGTGACTATCCAACAACCTGTCGTGAGATAGCGCTGTGAGATGTTATTAAGAAAGGGTGAGACTGATTGTATTGATTATATGCCCACCTTTTCAACAACCTCTAAGAACTTTCAGAGCTCGTAGAGTAGCCTCGCCCGCTCGCAAGAGCGTCGTGCATTGAAACCAAATGGTATGGTGCCAGATAGAAAGATCAGCGAGGTCTACCACACTGTTTTTTTTTTCGAAAACGATGAGTCGAAACAAGCTTCTCAATGGAGAGTATGAAGAGTGAGTGATCTTGGCAAAATCAAGGTAAATAAGGAAAAGTGAATGAGTAAAATAAGTTTGTACCATGGTGTCACGTCATGTGAAGCTAAAATCAGCCATCGAGAATGAAGGGGTTTGACATGAGTACCAGAACTTGAAACCAGGAACCATTGCCCATCATCGAAAACGAAATCTAATGACCTCCACCCGCACATAAACTCCAGAAAATTTGTCAGCGCCACCCAACTGTCCATTCTAAGGTACATATAGCCATCGACTCGTCATGTGACTGGTATATGACATTCAAAGTGTCATTCATCCATACAAAGTACCCTTAGTGCGCTCACTAAACTGGGTCTCGTTGTGGAGATGTTGAGTGACATCCATTGTAGTGATGATATGGTCGTAACTGAGCTTTTCTTCTTTGCGACTTGCGAGTAGTCGAGCTATCTTGAGGATGTTTTTGACTTGACGACCGTTCAGATCCATGCGTGCAAGATCCATAAGTTGAGACTTGGAGATGGTGTGTTCTTGCGACGAAGAGTCCAAAAAGTTTTTCCATACAGTCTTGCGTGATTCCACAGTAAGACCAGGGTAGTCAAGTGAAATGTGGATACGTGACTGGAAAGCCGGATCGAATGTTTGGACGCGGTTGGTGGTAAGAAACATCGTACCCTCGTAGTACTCCAAGACGCGAAGGAAGATGGAGACCAACTTGTTGCGCTCGAGCTCGTGAAGCGAACGCTGTTCTAGGAAGACATCCGCCTCGTCGAGCAGAAGAACGGCGTTCCAGCGACTACACATCTCAAGAATGTCTTGCAGATTGCCCTCCAGCCTTCGGGGATCGAAGCCGAGATCTCCAGCGCTCATCATATAGAGTGGAACCTTCATCTCTTCGGCAACCGACTCGCTGGTGAGAGTTTTACCAACACCGGGCGGGCCACATAGTAGAACAATCATGCCCTTACCCTTGCCTTCAATAACATCGTCGAAGCTGTCGCGGAACTTTCGTTGGGACTCAGTGAAGCCCAGAATCAGTTCCTTCTGGTTCTTTGGCAATACTAGCCTATCAAATGCATCAGTCTGCCATTCGATATCCTTGACACAGTTGACGAAAAAGTTCAGCCAAAGTTTGTTCTTTAGACTGTACCCGCGCAGCAGAGGCGAGCAAATGAGCTTCTGCTCCGGAGTCAAGGGTGCATGCTTTGCCACATCGTCTTCGTCCGCGAAAGCGCCGTCGATAGGCATTCCGCTGTCGTCTCCGTCGAGATCGTCATCTTCTTCCTCTTCTTGCTCGTTCTCAGAATCGTATCCGTCTCCATTGCAGCGAGACGCTGAATCGGCAGGCTCTTTCTGGTTGAGTGGAGCAACAAAGATTGAGTGCGTCGGGTTAAAGCGATTCCAGCCGTACGTATCGATCACGATCCGACCTTTGACATTGTACTTGTCCTTTGTGCCGAACTGGCCTTTCCTCCAAGCGACACCCTGGTAAGCTCGATAATTAGCACCAGCAAGCTCCTCAGTTTTGGCTCCGCGCTCAATAAGGCGAGCGCGGATAGCGTCGCCTTCAGGATGAAATTCGATGGGATAAACGCGAAGGGAAGTGATAGCGCGTGTTCCGGTATAGATTGAAATGGACAAGTTGATCTTGTTGGTTCCAAACTTGGCGCCATCCCAGTCCACGTACTTGCAAGTCGCCCAGAAGCAAGGTATACCATTACAATCTTGACCATAGCGCGTCTCCACCAAGGATAGTGCTGTTTCCTGACCGTCTTGTCGGGCGAATACAACCGATCCTGGCTGGAAAAGCGTCCAAAGATGTTCGAAAGTCATGACTCGTTTACTCTTCATATCTTGTGAAGTGTCGATCATGTTCTTGAATTCTTTTGTTAGGATGCCCTGTAGAAGCTCGGCGTGTGCTTTTGTTGTGCGCTGCTCTTCTGTTTCGTCGCTGAGCTTGGAAATGGCGGCCTGCAATTCAGTCCTGCACATGGTGTTAGTTTGTGGATAGTCTACAACAAGCCGAAGAGTACGGGAGACTATCTTACCAGCGATGGATGAGGGGTTCAAATTTTCCAGTAAACTCAAGACGATTGAGACCAACAGTCACTCCAGGGTAGCCTTTCAGTACCTTGACGAGGAGTTTCTTGAGGAGTGGACTCTGCACGACAATCGAGTGCATGGACAACACGCGGCGCGGGTCATTGTAGACTTTGACATTTCGCACGAGAAGTGCCCATTTTGCGGTCTTCTCATTCTCGGCAGGGTCGCCCACATCCTCAGGAAGCTCTTCCTGCCATTGGAAGCGCCCTTTCTTGTCTTCTTTGCCAGAATAAAAGTGCTTGAGGCCATTCTTCATTCCTGGCTCGCAAGGCTCATCGTCCTCTTCGCTCTTCTCTTTGGCCACCCCATTAGGCTTGCTCTTTCCATTGACCAGAATGTGTTTGATGCCGTTCAGCTTGGGCTCGTTATCACCCGAAGACGTGGATGAGACTGATGACGATCGGTCTCGGCGACCTCGATCCCGCGATTCTCGCCTCCATTGCTGGCGCTCGAATGTTCCTTTGTCCAACTCCATCGATCCGTTTGTTTTTTGAGTGACGGTTGTGAATGTAGGAGGGTTGCGGATCTAAACCGACTTCTTATACAAAGGTTATGAGGTGGCCCAGGAAAACCCTTTACTTCGATAAGGGCGCTCAATTGATGAAAAGGTGAGTGAGAGAAAGGTCGATGAAGCTGCAAGGCCAGCTTGAAGTACTTCGCATAAGCCAAGTGTAACTAATCTCACCGGTGAGGCTGCGGTGCTGCCTATGCAATTGGAGGCCTCCTTGCTGCACATTGTGATGGCATAGACCTATCAGAGAGTCACAGCTGTATGACTGTAATAGGAGACGCTAGTCCGAATTCACTTCCAACGCAAGGCAGTCACAATGCGCTGTCCGTCTTTGCATGCATCCTGTCGGACCAGGCTGTCGATGTTGATGCCTGGCGCCCCATGCGTGACGCCACAGGGTCATTGATCGCCGCAAAAAGGGCTGACGCCTAGGACTAGAAGAGACTCTGCAGACCGGGGATCGCAACGAGGCAGAAACCAAAGACAAGATAGCTGCGGGAGATGTTAGATATCACATCTTGGTCGTGGTTACAAGGGGGGCCCACACATGAGGTGAGGCTGGAGGTGAGTGTGGCGGTGCGCAGCCGGAGGTACCCCGCGCGGCCGGCGTCGGCGTCGGCGTCGAAGCCCCGCGCCATCTTTTTCATCTCTCAGGTGTGAGCCCAACTTTTGCGTGGCTCATCCAAGAAATTCACGTCAAGCCTCAGGCGCTTTCTGGCCCAGAATGACTACTTTGATCAAGGTGCCCTGCTCGTCAGCCAACATTGGCCCCGGCTTCGACGTTATCGGTCTTGCGCTCAACCTTTACCTCGAACTCGAGGTCACCGTCACCAAAAAAGACAAGTCTGAACATGCGCTCAATTGCAGAGTAACATATGAAGGCGTAGGCGCTGAAGATGTCCCCCTCAATGCGCAGGACAATCTCATCACACGAACAGCCGTATACGTCCTCCGTTGCCATGGCGTCCGCGACTTTCCCTCCGAGACACACGTACATGTCAAGAACCCCATACCCCTAGGGCGAGGCCTGGGTTCCTCAGCGGCAGCCATTGTGGCAGGTGTGCATTTGGCCAACGAAGTGGGCAATCTCAATCTGTCAAGGGCGCGCATGCTCGACTATTGCCTGATGGAAGAGCGACACCCCGATAACGTCGCGGCAGCGCTCTATGGAGGTTTTGTCGGTACTTATCTAAATGAACTCTCGCCCGAAGACACGGAGCGCCTTGAGATCCCGCTTAGCGAAGTCTTGCCCCAGCCTGCGGGAGGCGTAGATACCGGTCTCCGCCCGCCCGAGCCTCCTCTGAACATCGGACACTACACAAAGTTCAACTGGTCGCCCGCCATCAAGTGTGTATGCATAGTTCCACAATTCGAAGTGTCCACGGCAAAGGCACGCGCCGTATTGCCGGATTCCTATTCAAGAAAAGATGCCATCTTCAACATGCAGCGCCTGGCTGTCTTGACGACTGCCCTCGGTCAAGCCACACCTGACCCTGACATGATCTACACAGCCATGCAAGACAAGCTCCACCAGCCATACCGGAGTGGCTTGATCCCTGGACTTACCCAGATCCTCCAATCTGTCACGCCGCAATCGCATCCCGGACTGTTGGGCATCTGCCTCTCAGGTGCTGGCCCGACGATACTGGCTCTTGCAACAGAAAACTTTGACAAGATTGCCGAGCATCTTTTGCAAGAGTTCAAAAAAGAGGGCATAGCGTGCGATTGGAAGCTCCTTGAGATAGCAGAAGAGGGCACTGTCGTCACTCGTCCTACCAAGACACCACAGCCAGCCGGCGAGGCATTGACATATGCATCCTCTGGTGTCAGCATCGATGCAGGAAATGAGCTCGTCAAGCAGATCAAGGCACTGACTGCCAGCACAAAGCGACCTGGAGCGGATGGCAAGATCGGTGGATTTGGCGGGCTGCTCGATCTGCAGGCGGCTGGATACAAAGAGGCCCCGATTCTTGTGGGTGCCATCGATGGAATCGGCACAAAGGTCAAGATTGCTTTTGAAATGGGCAAGCATGATACGGTTGGAATCGACCTTGTTGCCATGAACGTCAATGATCTTGTCGTACAGGGTGCGGAACCACTCATGTTCCTCGATTACTACGCTTGCAGCAAGCTCGATGTCGAGGGCGCAGCAAAATTTGTCGAGGGCGTCGCCAATGGCTGCCGGCAATCAGCGTGCGCTCTTGTGGGTGGTGAGACTGCAGAGATGCCTGGTATCTATCAAAAGGGCGAATATGACGCAGGTGGAGCAGCCATTGGCGCCATCAAGCAGGGCGCAACGATATTGCCGGACACAGCTTCCATGGGCGAGGGTGACGTGCTCTTGGGTCTTGCATCAAGTGGAGTTCACTCGAACGGCTTTTCGCTTGTGCGAAGGATCGTTGAGGCGCAGGGCATGTCATACCTGGACACTTGTCCTTGGAGCTCCGGTGAGAATCTAGGAACCGCTCTCCTGACACCAACCAAGATCTACGTCAAGCCGCTGCTAGCTGTAGCCCGGCGGGGCTTGATTAAGGGTATGGCCCACATTACGGGTGGCGGCCTGCTTGAGAATATCCCGCGCATGTTGCCGAAGACCCTAACGGCCGAACTGGATGCGAAATCATGGCCCCTTCTAGACGTCTTCAAGTGGTTGAAGAAAGCGGGCCGGATGGAGCATACGGAATTTGCGAGAACCTTCAACACGGGTCTCGGCATGGTGCTTGTTGTGAAACAAGAGGACGTCAGAACTACCATGGACCGATTGCAAGAGTATGGCGAGAAGGTCTATGTGGTTGGGTCGCTGAAGAAGAGGACTGATGAGGAGTGCATTGTGAACAACATGGAGGTCTGGGGTTAAATCAATGCTGTTACCTTTGGCTATTACGAACGGGTAGAGAACAAAAGTTGTGGGTTTGAGTGTGTAGTGGTGGTTCCTTCTAGTCTGGCATGGGACGGATCCGCAGATTTAGCGGCATATTAAACAGTACTATATACCCACCTTTTCCTGAGCTTCTAGAGCAAAGTTTTGATCCATAAACCCGTGTTATTGCCATGGTAGTTGTTTGCTAGGTGACACGCGTCTTTGTCTCAGGAACAAGCGCAGAGACTGCTTCAATGTGTCATGATAATATCAGTTGGTCGATGGCGCAATGAACGAGTGCATGACAAGTGTGCCGGCGAACCTTGGAACGTTGAGAATAAGGAAGCTGCGGTACAGCAGAATACGGGGCGACTGTTTTGGACGCGGTGCAGTTGCATATGCAAGCCACGACTTGTTGTGGGGACAAAGGGCCTGCGAGCTGCGAGGACGCGTAAATCAAACTATCAGTGGCTCCCAAGCCGAGAGCATTGTTCCGATGAGGCCAACGTGCCCGAAAGCTAAGCCGCTTAGTCAGACGAAGATTACCCGGCTGGCTGTGAGGGTCAAGGCTACTGGTTCACCAAGAGTTGGTTTGCTGGGAAGAGGTGATGTGCTAGCATGGTGATGAGTGGAAGGGTTGCAAAGTAAGCGCACACCTGTCCCATGCTTCCCGCTCGACCTTCTAGAACGTCTCACCGCCGTAGGGTAGGCCGCATTAGCCACACACACTCACACACCATACAGGCTGTTACGAGTACGTGGGGAATATGGTTTGGCCCATGCCTTGCTCGACGTGAAGAAAGCTGGCAGTGACGTGAGGCCCACGTATCATGCAATGGATGACATGTCAACCTAGGAAGAGTAAAGAAAAAAAAGGGGAGGCGCGTCGTGCTTGTCGTGCTTGTCGTGCTTGTCGTCCTTGTCAAGGGCGCGCAACCAGATGGACGACGACCAAGGCGGCTTGAGGCGTGGCTGTCGAGGGAGCAAAGAATCTGTTGAGGCAAGCCCTCTTTGGCGCTCGATATGACTCCTAGCTCCCCCGGTCGTCCATGTATCCTGACGTCGACATGCAAAGTATGTACAGGTGGGCCGCAGGCGTGATTCGAGACACACCCCAAGACGCCAATGCAGGCAGGGAGGACTGCTGTAAAGTACTGCTGGAGCGGGCACTGGCGAGAGGCGTCGTGGTGATGGTGTACAGGCGCCGGCACGACTGAAACCGTGTGCTACCTACTCGGCGCAACGGGCTAGACCGGGTGGAGCGCCACTACGCCCACCCCGCCCTTCTATTCGCCATGGGCCTGTGTGCTGGTATACGCCGGACCGCTTTGCACCAGGGCTAACTTTTTTTTTCCTGCTTCGACTCAGAGTCGACAGACTGTCTTTGGCGCTGGGTACTCGTTGCGCACCTTGTCCTGTCTCCCGAAGCTGACAGCATTACATGGCAGCAAGCCAGCCAGCAAGCCAACCCCCCAGCCTTGACCACTCGTCCCCCCCTCTAATCGGCAGCCTCTACCTAGCCCTATCTCACCACCCCCCTCCCCAGACTAGACCCAGCCATTACTACTTATCTCTCTGGGACCCCCTCCCCCTTCCTTCATAATGTCTGCTCCCCACGACTCCGCCGCCGCCCAATCCAACTCGGTCAACACCACTGCCCCCGCCAACTCCCACGTCGAGTCCACCAACAATGGCACCTCCCAAGGCGGACTCTCCACCTCCGGTTCCTCCGCCGCCGCCGAACTCGCCAGTCTTAAAAGCACGCTGAAGTCGTCATTGCGCCAATTCCCAGACTTTCCCCAGCCGGGCGTCCTCTTCGAAGATATTATGCCCTTGTTCGCAAACCCACAGCTACACGAGAGCCTGGTACGCGGACTGGAACTCGCTGTCGAACAGCACTTCAGCGCATCCGGCAAGCCCGATGTGGTTGTCGGACTGGATGCGCGCGGATTCTTGTTTGGCCCCAGTCTGGCGCTGAGAATCGGCGCCAGCTTTGTGCCAGTGCGCAAGAAGGGAAAGCTGCCCGGTCCCTGCGAGACCGCGGAATACGAGAAAGAGTATGGAAGCGATTTCTTTCAGATGCAGACCGATGCCGTAAAGAGCGGCCAGAAGGTGCTCGTTGTTGACGACATCATTGCGACTGGTATGTAAAGACTGCTAGGCTCAGCACGAGCCTTTTGTGATGGCATCGACGCTAATTAAGATGTAGGCGGCTCTGCAGTTGCTGCGGGATCCCTCGTTACGAAGCTTGGCGGAACAGTTGTTGGATACCTCTTCCTTGACGAGGTCGCTTTCCTAAAGGGCCGTGATAAGCTCAACGCACCAGTATACACACTCCTTGCAAAGTCTGAGCAGTAGAGAGGCCATTCCAGGTCCCGAGCTCAGCTCTCGATTTTAAATTCGATTCTAGCACATTGGATCCGAGGTGGTACAAAACACATGACAGGCCATAGACAGCAATCATCGCATTTGGGTGGTGTTTATTTGGTTCCGGATGTTTATCCAGAGTACATGGCAACAAAGATATGTCTTTTCGTGAAAGGATTAGAGGAAGCATACGAACCACATCCTGGCAGGCACCTTTTTGACAATGTTCTACTTATACCCACTACACGTATCTTATCAAATATACACTCTACTTAGCGTACTCTTCACCTGCCACGTAAGTGCTGCTCATCGTATAACCGTTCTACACTGCTTTTCCCGTCGCGAAAATCCCGACCAGACCAAAAAATCTTACACTTACCCCTCTACGCTGGCGTGCTTGCAGGCGCTAGCACCCAAAACGGGAAGGTGGAGGTGACGCTCATTGGCTCCGATGCCGGCCGCCAGCAACCGTGCGGATGCCCCTCATCATCACCGCTTCCAGCTGATGTAATGCCAACTGGGTGCCCCTCTGGTCATTATCGAGCGGGGGTTTGGCGCCCGGTCGGCCCTGTCCAAGTAGTCACTTATCATAGCGGATTTCCCGACAATAGCCTCGTTTTTCCAGACGTAGATAAAGTGTCCCATGCAACGCATTGTCTCTTCTCAACGACTCTTTACTACTACAAGACTTTTGTGTGTTGAGAGAGCTACCACTACTACTACTACTACTACTACTACTTTCACTCCTTCGATAACGAGATTACCAATTGGACTCCAAACCATTGCGACTGAACAACGAAGAAAAATGTCGGAAATCAAGAAAGTGTCCACTGCCAATGCCTGCCCTCGTACGTCCTCCCCAATTGTTCTCGACAAACCCATGTTGCGAGTGAGTGCTAACAACATAACACAGCTGCGGGACCTTATGTATGTTCTTCCTACCTTACGATCGAACTTCAAAGCACCTTTACATCCGACGAGCCCTAACCACAATATCCTCATTAGTCCCAAGCCATTATCGCCGGCCCCAGCATCTTCGTCTCAGGCCAGATCCCTGCAGACACAAAGGGCAACCTGATCGAAGGCAGCATCGCAGACAAGACCAAGATGTGCTGTGAGAACATCAAGGGCATTCTCACCGAGGCGGGTGTCGGTCTGGACCGTGTCGTCAAGGTGCGTCTTGAACTCCCATATTACTTCCCAGCATAAACACAGGCAACTACGCTTGGTTCTACAACATACTCGCTGTATTAGCTATGGAGGGATAGCGTTACTGACGGGTAGAGGAAAATCTAGGTCAACGTTTTCCTCGACGACATGGCCCACTTCGCCGAAATGAACGGCGTCTTCGAACAATACTTCTCGCACAAGCCTGCGCGCAGCTGTGTCGCGGTTAAGCAGCTGCCAAAGGGTGTCCCAGTCGAGATTGAGTGCATTGCTTACAACGGTACGAGCGCGAAGTTGTAGGGTTCGCGGCGCTGATTTGTTGATCCTTTTTTTTAGGTTAAACGACGATGAAAATGCGCGTTTGGAAGAAGGAGGGGTAGGGAGGGTGAGATGTGAGGATAGGTTTTGTGGGCCCGGAGTGGTCGAGAGAGAAAGAGAAGAAATCAAAGAATGAATTATCGGATCTAATTGATCAGAGTGCGGATTTTCATCGTGTGGAGCATACTTTCTCAGTGCCTCTTCATTCGAGCTAACAGTCCAGAATACGTCAAATCACGAACAATTACTGGTAACATTAATAGCCGATTGATTAGCTAGCACATTCCTCCTACAGAGAACCACCTATCTACACATTACATTCTTATTAAGACCTATCTAGAACCTTAACTACACCTCACTCCCCTACGAGCGCATATGAACCCGAGCCCCATCCCCCGGCGCAAGCACCAGCGTAAGCGCCTGCTTCTCCATACCAATCGGCACAACCTTCTCATCCACCGGCAACTTCATATTAGGGAAATTCTGAATCATCCTCACAATCGTATACGAAATCTCAAGCTGCGCATAATCCTGGCCCAAGCACACCCTGGGTCCCCCGTTAAAAGGCAAGTAGCCATAGCCTATCCTGCGGAATAGGGACCCGTCTTCCCAGCGCTCAGGCCGGAACTCGTGGGCGTCTTCGCCATAGAGGTCTTTGCGGCGGTGCATGACGTACACGGAGTATCCGATGATTTCGCCTTTGCGGACGAGGAAGGGGGATTGGCCTGTGGGGCCGCCGCCGACGGGGAGTGTGGTTGTGCAGTTTGCGGTGCGGCCGTTGACGGGGGCGATGGGGTAGAGGCGAAGGACTTCTTTGAAGACTGAGTCGAGATATGGCATGCGCTTCATTACGGAGCGAGTCGGATGCGGCGCGTCTTTGCCGAGACCGATTGTTGCGTCGATTTCTGCGCGTAGCTTTTCGTAGATTCGCGGGTGGCGCACCAAGAGGCGGAATGCCCAGGAGAGAGTGCAGGCGGTGGTGTCTCTGCCTGCTAAGAGGACGGCGAGGCATTGTGCGCGGATGGCTTTTCTGTCTGAGGTTTTGCGGCTGAGAGCACCGCAGAAGCTGTCATTCTTGCCGGTGCCCTCGTCCTTTGCGTCCTTGAGTGCTGCTTCAATGCCCCGGTCGATGAAGCGATGAGTGGTTTTGCAGGCACGCTGGAATTTCATCGAATTGGCAAGCCAGTAGTAATCTCCCATGCGGCCACGATTAGCCAGAAATTCCTGTGCTACGAGGAAGGCTTCCGCAAATTCTTCGCCTTCACCTGGGTTGTCACCGTTCTGCGAATAGCCCATTGTGCTTCCGAATAGGAGGAACAATGTGGTATTGAGGGCTAGGTCGTAGAAAAGGAGCAGCAAATCCACGACCGTATCATCGGGGATAGCCTTGATGAGTTTGTTAACTGCGCTTTCGATTGCATCATAGTTCTTTTGAAGGTTCGCTGCTAATTGGGGGCGGAGCATTATACGCGAGTGCTTCCACTCTGCTCCGTCTTGAGTGAAGATACTACTTCCCATCAGAGGATAAAAATTGTCGAAGCGTTTCCCAACGCCAAAGTCTGCAATTCTGTTAATCAAAGGGTTTAGAACATGTAGCCTGCAGACTGACTGTCGAACTGAGTTGCAAGAATTGCCTCTATATTCTTAGGCTCGACCGTATTGTAAGTTACCTTACCGACTTGCAATCATTAGCGCTGTTCCCAAAAGTCTGTGTTGCCAACTTACGCGTTCGCTGCTCATGTGTATGACCACTCGACTCCACAATGTCGGTAAAGAATTGCATCAGTGTCTGATCCTTGACATGGCATGCAGCCTTGAAAAGAAGATCCACGCCTAGGGGCCATTTAGTGACTAATTTAGGCACAGGTTCGTAGCCCTGGCCTTTTCCGAATGCATCTTGTTCCTTTGACATGTCAGCAGTCGAATCAGAGAAATGATCATATGCTCTTTGCCTTTCTTTGAACTCGCTTTTCCCATAGTCTATGCAAGAAGAAGCTCAACACCGCGATCGCGACAATCACGTTCCTCACATTGACAGTGTCGCCCAACGTATACGACATGTTAATTGACGGTGAGGTGTATAAGGGAAAGAAGTGAAGGGGAGATGCTGTCATGGTCAAGAGAACCCATCGTGGGGATTTTGTAGAGAAATTCGACCTCAGCTCCTGTGCTGAGATATATGATCGTTGATGAGAGTACCTTGGTCGGGGTCAAGTTGGGGGTGCCACACTGGCACTATCGTGATTTCAGCTGGCCAAGGGTCTCATTGAAATTTACGTCACCATTTTTCTTCCGGTGGAAAACCCAGACCCGAGGCATTCCCTGATCCTTTCTCAGATACTATGCTCTGCCAACGAGAATGTACACTACTCGAACTCGGGGTCTTGATAAACTGTAGGGTCCTATTGAGCTCGTGGTTCCTGCGTGGTATCTTCCGGTCGATTGGTAACATCATTTTCAGGGTTCACAACTTAAAATGGAATAACATCTGGTATTGATGTCGCGGGTGGCGCCATCCACAATCTTTGGTTCAGCTCAGCGTCGGTGACTTCATCATGAGGGCTCCGCGAATCGTTTTTGTGATCCAGCAATTGTAGCATCCACTCTGATAGCCTTTCTACATCAAGATCCCAGTCTTTCTTTCTGAAAAGCATCGAGAGCTCTTGAAGTTATGCTAAGGATTAATATATGTAAGTTTCTCCATTGGGTGGTGTTGTTTCTTCCTCCTAGCCCAATCCTGCAGTAATGGTATCAACTGCAGAAAAGGGTGTTTGAATCGAGATATGTGAACACCGGATACCTTATCAGGTTCGGGACAACTTCGCAGATGCGGGGTTGAACCTGAACTGACTGTTGAAGTTCTTGTTAGCTGAACCCGTGAATGAATATAACAGCTTCAATCCCGAGGGTGAACATTGTTCCTATTGAAGCTGCCGTATCTGATTTCATCATGTGACCGGACCAGATAAGAGCGTGATTGATATATAGTTGAGGTCGAACCACTTTGATACGGTCAAAAGCTCCCGAACCAATGGGAGATTGGCTGCTTCGTGGCGTTCGGTATGGCCCTGGACATGTGAAAAATAGCCGAGGTAGCCCATTCATCTCTCTGCACCATTTCGAGCTTTAGAGTGTTGCCTGGATAAGATTGGTAATGCTATTCTGTGTAGGGGATGAGCGGTCATCAAGTTTGTGTTTGATCTAGCGTCGGGCCGTCTTGCCGTCCGCGGATTGGTGCGCACTACGATTTCTCCGCTTTCCCCACTCCCCCTGGTGCACAAATCCAAGAGAATGCACGTCTATGGGCAATTCTAGTTGGTCGCCTCAATGAACTCTCCCCCATTTATTACTGGTCACCTGCGAACGTTGACTCGTTCCCATTCTCGACATCAACCAAACGATATGCCAAGTATCAGGCCATCCATTCTTGCTTATCATCGGAGAGTTTATCAAATCGATCTCAAATTCTACGAGGCCATAATTCCCAAACAAGAGAAGAGCTGCCT